ATCAGAAGTGCAGCCGCCGGGATTCGATCCCGCGACCTGCGGGTCAGCAGCCGAGTACCTTAGCCACTAGACCACCGGGGCGGGTCAAGACTATTAAGCGAGAAGACAGGGTGCGTGACTGCGTCCTTTTGATCAATGTTCGCAGTTGGTGCCCATAATGCTTTCTTCTGAAGGCAGGGGAGCCCTCAAGCCAGAGCAGCACATCCCCCTCCCAATAAGCTACACTAGCGCCAGCCCTTCCACCAACCGCGCTGGGACACGGGGTTTGCACCACCCAAGACAAACTCCTGCCGACGCCCACGACCGTTACCCGTCGCTGCGCGGGCGGCATGTAGCGGTCCTGGGACGGCAGTGCCCCGGGAACTTTCTTCCCTCTCTCCGGGATGGCCCTGTTCGCGCGCATGCTTCGGACGGCGAGCAGACCGGTGGGGATGCCGACGACCGCGAGCACGACGATGCACAGGGCCCAGAGGACGAACACGTCGCTGTGAACGGGAGGCGCCACTTGCGGCTCCTCGTCGCCGAACAGGTCCGAATGCGGGTTGGGCATCTTCTTGACGATGATGACTGTCGCGAAACAGTGGCGCGAGCGCGCTGTGCGACAAGAGCGAGGTGACACTGTGACACGAAAATGTTCATTTTTTATTATTATTATTATTATTATTATTATTATTATTATTATTATTATTATTATTATTATTATTATTATTATTATTATTATTATTATTATTATTATTATTATTACGTCGAATTTCGGCCAAGCCCCCTATATCTGGCAAAAGGTACTGCTTAGCATGAGTGCACCACGGGAAAGTGGTCGGTTACAACGTTAGAAGTCAGCGGCACACCCTCCTAAAAGGCAGGTGCACACAAGCCTGCGCCAATAGGCGACTACTCCAGACTGACGTCACTGTACCTGTACCGAAAGCAAGATCGGGGCTGTTTCTTCAGTCGCCGAGTTGATCGGCCGCGGCGCTTCGGTCGTGTGGGCGAGGCCTCCCCTGAAACAGTTGGCGTGCAGGCGATACTGGCATAGGCGTCCACGCGAGATGATCACGAGGCCGTTGCCTCCCCAGTATTGCCAACGAAAAGTGAGCCGCGCATTCGACGAAAAAAAAATTTAAAAAAAGGTGTCCAAAGTCAAGATGCGTGCTCACGAAGGGGGGAGGAGGAGGGGGAGGTGCAACTTTATTTGGCCAAGGGATCTGGGGCACTTACGTCCCAATGTCCCCGCATGAACATGTAGACTGTTTTCCATAAGACATCTGGGCGGTGCCACAGTGGGCTGCTAAGCCGATGCTTTCCTGCTTTTGTACATCGTGATGTGAATCACCGATGTTTTGACACATCATTGGCACCAACTCAACCGTTTTCATGCGTGTGTGTCCACCGTAACACTGTTCCTTTGGCTGATAAAGATACCAAGAGCAAAGGTTAATAGCCCAATATTGCGACGCTCAAATCCATCCGTAAAATAGACTGTTTTACCAGGGGGGTAGCTAGAAATATTTTTCGGGGGAGAGCGGAAACCTTTTTGATTTCTGGGGGGGGGGGGGGGGTCATGTCCTTTAATCGGTTATTTTCCCCTCTCTATTCCACGGCGAAACAAAATTCCGGGGAGGGGGGGTGGGTGATTCTAAGTCAAAAGGAAAGAAAGGTGAGCCCCGTAACTGTCTCTCAGTGGGATGACACCTCAACAGTACCTTATGAGGGATGAGGGTAGAGAAGGGATTAAAAGGATAGGATTAAAAGGTATAGAGATAGAGAGACAGGAAGGAGAGAGCGAGGCGCAGGGACAGCGAACGACGGAAGTAAGGAGAAGACAAGAAAGATGGACACGGTTGCAGGAGTCCGAGGACGGGGCACCACTGGCGAGAGCTCTTGTCGGCGTTAGGAGATGGCGTAGGGCTAATCCAGTCGGCCAGAGCTACGCTGTCGTCGTCGTCGGGGACCGGCGTCAGGAGGTGACGTAGGGCCAGTCCAGTCGGCCAGAGCTGCGCTGTCGTCGGAGATCGCGAGGGCACAACCGGTCGGCACGGAATCCAGCGAGCGAACTTTGGAGAGTGGGGGGGGGGGGGGGGGCACGGGCCCGTTTCTTGCATTTTACGAGTGAGTTTCAGTGCCGCCATGTTGCAACTGTTAACCTTCGTGTTCTACGCCTTTAACAACTAAACGAGCAGTCTGACGCTAGCCGTTACGGCATGAAAATCGTTTGGTTGCTGCATGCGATGTTTCATGACTTTATTAATCCAGGTCGCATTATACAAAAACAAGACACAAAATATCGGCCTAAATGTGCAAGAGTGCGGCGCCCACATGGTTTAGTTTATACAGGCTATATCCTTTATCGTGTTCCTCCGTTTTCTTGATCTCGATGAGATATTCTAAATCGTTTATGTCAAAACATATCTATTTTTATCGAGCTATTCACTACCTAAAGCGGTATATGTGCCGATCGATTCACGGCCGATACCCCTTGGCAGGTTGCACTAGGACACTGAGGAACAACCAACCAACCGACCAACGATCGATGACACCTATACGAATAATGTCGTAATAAATAGTTTAGGAACCACTTGGTCTGAGAAACAATTGAACTTCCAGCAGTCTTTCTTATTTCATATTGTCGAACTGTCAAGTAGATCTGTTCTTTGCGCCCCGCCCCGGTGGTCTAGTGGCTAAGGTACTCGGCTGCTGACCCACAGGTCGCGGGATCAAATCCCGGCTGTGGTGGCTGCATTTCCGATGGAGGCGGAAATGTTGTAGGCCCGTGTACTCAGATTTGGGTGCACGTTAAAGAACCCCAGGTGGTCAAAATTTCCGGAGCCCTCCACTACGGCGTCTCTCATAATCAAATAGTGGGTTTGGGACGTTAAACCCCACAAATCAATCAATCAATCGGTCTGTTCTTTGCGTGTTTTAGAACAGGCCAGTTATCTAAATTCAAGGCTGTCGGTCGAAGAAACGGTAATAAATAGCTTATTTTATTATTTCGTCTGTGGCCCACGAGTCAGTGTCGAAAGTTTAAGGACCCGTGGTCCCTAAACTTTCGAAACTGACTGCACATCACGCTGTTCGCCTTCTATTCGCGAAACGCATTCTCGTTGACATCCCTGGCGCCGCAGTGTCCTTTCTCATTGAATTCCGAGAAAGCGTGTTACAACACAGATACTGAAAGCTGCGCCGAGAACAATATCTCGTCATTCGTATCTCGCGTAAGCCCGGCTTCGCTTTCGCACGAATGCCCCACTTGTTTACAAAGCTGGCCCCGCCACGGTGGTCTAGTGGCTAAGGTACCCAGCTGCTGACCCGCAGGTCGCGAGATCGAATCCCGGCTGCGGAGGCTGCCGATGGAGGCGGAAATGTTGTAGGCCCATGTGCTCAGATTTAGGTGCACGTTAAAGAACCCCAGGTGGTCGAAATCTCCGGAGCCCTTCACTACGGCGTCTCTCATAATCATATGGTGGTTTTGGGAAGATAAAGCCCACATATCAAATGCTTACAAAACTGTGAAGTCGAAATTCACGTGTGTGCACTGTCGTGCAATTAAAAAAAAAAAGAACTTGCAGCGCAAATATAGAAAGGCGCAAGGAATTCTTTTGCGTCCGAAGTTTTCTATGAATATTCAATGCAGACGAGCCCACCTATCCTTGTCCTGCTATATTTGTCGTGCAACTAGTGTGAGTAAGATATCGTTGTTGCGAAACAATTGCGTGCAGCAGTACAAAGTTGAATGCATTGTTTGTATGCAGAAGGCACTGCTTCATCTAGGCTAGAAAAGTTAGGCTAAACTTATATATATATATATATATATATATATATATATATATATATATATATATATATATATATATATATATATATATATATATATATATATATATATATATATATATATATATGTGTGTGTGTGTGTGTGTGTGTGTGTGTGTGTGTGTGTGTGTGTGTGTGTGTGTGTGTGTGTGTGTTGTTTATTTCGACGTTTCGGCCTAGAGTCTGGCCTTCATCCTGATGAAGGCCCGACTCTAGGCCGAAAAGTCGAAATAAACCACGTTGTGACCGCTCACGGAGGATCCACTGGAATACATATATATATTCATGCTTTAGCATGTCTGCTGCATCTTGCCAGAAAAGGAAACAGACCTATTATAGTGAAGCCCTCTTGTGGCCTCAATGTATGCGTTCGTGTCACTGAAGTTTAATTTCAAGTTAAGATGCACAGCAATGGCTGTGGGCGGAGCTAACGTTTCTACTCGGGTGGTGAACGGCTACAGATATCTTCATTTATGTGTTGCTGGCATAAATCCTGCACAAATAATTTCTTAACATCTTAATGTCACGATGAACGCGATTCATATAGAGTGCGCTTCTCTCGGTGTTCAGTTACATTCCTAATTCCACGCCTCCCCCCCCCCTTTTTTTTTTCTGGCGAAATGGAAAGGATATATATGGCTCTGACCTAGAAGTGGATAAATTCAGCTCCACAGCATTTTTTTTTTTGGGGGGGGGGGCGCAAAAAAGCCGAAAAAAGAATAACTACGAATAATATATGAAGTTGACAACAAAGCGCATTGTTTTTGTCGCCGTCCATGTGTTCTACGTATCTGATCCTTTTTCTTTCTTTTTTTCTGTTGCAACGAAATATGTTCTGAACGACTCTCATCCCTATAGTCTCTCACTGCGTGCGCCACGCAACTCTATAGCGTTGAACAATCGCCACGCTAAAACAAAACAAAAAAAGAACGAGCGTTTCGTGCGTCATAAGCAAGCTAGTAAAGGCAAACGAACTACAGGGATCGCGAAAAAAAAAAGCCGATTGTATGCTCGTTTAACTCTTACCGTGTCGGCTGTTGCTCGATTGGCGCCACTATGCAACAAAAGAATAGAGAGAGAGAGAGAGAGAGAGAGAGAGAGATAGAGAGAGAGAGAAGGAGTGATTTGCGCGATTCGTCCGCGTAGAAGAAGGTGTGCCATCGATTGCCGAGCCGAAACTCAGCACCGCTGCCTGAGAAACTAGGAGATATTTGCTGATCGAGAGTTGACCGCCTTCCAGGTGGAGTAAGTATAGAGCGCTGCTTATTTCGGACGAGAAAGCTGCCGTTTGTGGACGCATTCGTCGGCGACTCGGGACGAAGTTCTCGAAGGGAGCAAGAGGATGCGTAGTAGTAGTTAAGACTTGCATGCCACTTCGACCACTTGTGGCGCCTTGGCTGACTGGACTGTTCGATTGACTCCCACCCTAACGCAATAATGATGGTGAGTATTGTTAGATAGATAGATAGATAGATAGATAGATAGATAGATAGATAGATAGATAGATAGATAGACAGACAGACAGACAGACAGACAGACAGACAGACAGACAGACAGACAGACAGACAGACAGACAGACAGACAGACAGACAGACAGACAGATAGATAGATAGATAGATAGATAGATAGATAGATAGATAGATAGATAGATAGATAGATAGATAGATAGATAGATAGATAGATAGATAGATAGATAGATAGATAGATAGATAGATAGATAGATAGATAGATAGATAGATAGATAGATAGATAGATAGATAGATAGATAGATAGATAGATAGATAGATAGATAGATAGATAGGATCAAAGTAGCCGAAGTTTCCTAAGAAATGCTTCGCATTTAAAACGAAAACATTATGTGTTTTTTTCCGTATTTAAGTTTTCTAGCGCATATATGCAGCGTACAAGCGATATCTATGTGAGTAGGTATAGTCTTCAGGGTCCCACGTGCATATTTTCTATTGAGACCAAGTGAACATTTCTCAACAATTTTTCAACAATGACCACCTTGCTCTTGTAAATTGCAGGATGAAACCTCTACGATTGGAGTACTTCATTGCTATCAAAAGTCACAGTGCAACTTTAATGCCAAGCAAGGTTGCGATACAATCTGCCCGAAAAATAATGCGTGCGAAATCGCGTTGCCAACGTGCGAGCTTAAAAGAAAGAAAATACTTATTGCGTATCGCAAGCATGCTTAGATGCGCGCAGTAGAGGAAAACAAGATGTTGACTGAAAGCTATCACCGCGGCAAGGCTGCTTGACATACAGAACTTCATTATACCCCTATAGTCACGCAGGCACAAACATCGACAGTAAGAAATTATTCGCTCAGCAAAGTAGTCAAAACGGAAATGTGATTATGAATGTACGAAAACATGTTGCGTATACTTTTCATTCTTCATTGTAAGCCGAACCGTCCTTGACTTGTGAAACGCACTTCGCCACGACGAAGACTATGCCATCTACGCTTAACAGAGATCAACGGTTAACGATGTCTTCTCCGATCAGGCGGGTCATCGCTATAATGGGAATGAGTGGGAATTTATTAGAAGGCAGAGAGGTCGGCCAGAGCTCATTCGCTCTAGCCTGATACTCTACACTGGGGATAAGGGAAGGGGTAAGGAAAGAGAGATGAAGGATGATGATGAGGACAAGAAGAGGTGGTGTGTCTGAACAGTAGCCACTTAGCATAGTACCCTACAGTCCAGTATCGAGTCCAGTGCTTTTGATAAAGTCCAAAACAGCCTTTGTAGCAATAATGCGTTTTCGGAGAGTAGCCTAATCAATGGTGTGACGAAAGGCCTTTGCTCCAAATGGTCGCTCTGCCGGACGTTTACTGTATTTTACTGCGATTATACTGCACTTTCACTTATTCTATTCACAAGCATACGCATCGGGTGAGGGGGGAGTCTTATGACTTTCATATACATGTACACAATCTGCTCAAACTACCGCCGATAGTCACGTCAGAGAGGAAAGGTGATGCCTGTGCCTCCCCCCTAGTTGAATCAATGTGAACGCCCCCCCCCCCCCCAACCACAGAAAAAAAAACTTTTTCGCTACGCTCCTGACACCTGCTGAACTCGTGAGAGGGGCTTCGCCCATATTCTCTGTGGAGTATGCACGCGTGACATTTTGCGCACAATACGTGGGCTTACTCCAAGCCTAAAACAGTTCCACTGCTGAAAAGGAAATTTTCTGTTTGAGCTCTATGTCATGTTCTTCCTTCCATCACTCCGCAACAATCCCTCACCCCCTCATTTCGCTTTGTAGTCCACGTAATATGATCACTTTACTCAAGCAGCTTAAAGTGCTGACTTCACGATAGCCTATGAAATGCACAACAGCAAAAATTAGTTTTCATGGGGAAGTACACTCGTTCAAAAAGCGCGCGCGTGAGTGAAGGCCATGGGGTAGTACCGTAATATCCGTTGTTTCCGAAAATAGATGGATAAAAAAACTTTATTTGCAGTCCTGAGAAACGCGATTGGAGCGCAGTGTGCTGTTATCGAGCTCTTATTTCCTCTACAAAACCATGTTTTTCCCTAACATCCCGTGGGAGCGTATAGCGTTCGCACTACTATTCATAAGCACGCCTTTAGCCTTTTAAGTCGTAATATCTTCAAAAGTTCGCTTTCACGTCTTCCCTCCTAGCCAAGGTGGGCAAACCTAAAGCTTTAGGTAAACCCATAGAATTTCCTAAAATGGTAACTCGGTGGGAAGACCCATTGAGATAGAGTTTCTCACAATAGTACTTATTGTATGTAATAATACTTATTGTATGAAACTCTATGCCCATTGAGGACACTAATTCTCAACAAAGAAGCCCGATAGCATGACCTACTACACTCCTGACCTGTTCAGATAGCGGGGTTCCTATGGGAGCGCGTGTCCCCGCTCTCGTTCAATCGCTCGCCGTAGGTGGCGCTACCTATAACCTGTTCGTCTGCTACTGTGCGGCCGGCAGGAGGGCGACGGACTGATACCATGCGTCTGCTTCTGTGACAAACTGCCTATACGTGTGATTGTTTTTTGCTGAAAAGGCTAACGTGTGCTATGTGTTACATTTTAGTAGTTAGGCTATACTGGTTGATTGACTTCTAAAGCTGTATATTTGCGTAGAAATGTCTTGCTGCATGGTTGTTTTTGCCATTCCAGCCTAAAAAAACTTCAATTTAGTATTCATAAAGCTTTTGACTAATAATGTACTCATTGGTAATAGAATATCAAACTGATTTTAGGTTGTTTAGGACGCGTCAGGTGAAACGCAGTGCCCCTGTTGAGCACTTACCTTGGACACTCGCCCTGGACAGGTGTTACACTTGTAGTCAATTGATAGAAGAGAATAATGCACATACGCCCACGGACGCATATCAAGGAGAGACACAGGAATTGAAGCTTTAACTCTTACTGTGACCTACACAACAAAAATTGTGCGTCAAATTTCGCTACGGGAGTTTGTCTGCTGGAACGGGGAGCGCTGGCCGATGCGCGTTTCTATGATTTTATATGTCCGTGCGATGAGACGATATGGTAAAGGCAGTGATGTGCCTATCGAGGGCAACACATTGCGACCCCAATAAAGTTTTTATCGTCATCATTATCATCATCTTGTCGAGCATAGTTAATAATAATAATAATAATAATAATAATAATAATAATAATAATAATAATAATAATAATAATAATAATAATAATGTTTTATTTTTCATCAATAGTTTGATGAAGGACAGCGGCAGGTAAAAGCTGCTCTTCGAAAGAGGCAGCTTGACATAGGCCCACAGACGCCTTTAGCACGACAGCACTGGCAAACAGTTAGCAATGTTATCTAAGCAACAATTACAAAAATATCAAGTTCAAATTCTAAAAATAAAAATAGCAACCATGATAACAATGTAGCAACTGCAAAGAAATCTTGAAAACTATACATGTGTATATCGTGCAATTGAGTTCGGGTACAGAGTAAGAAATCTATGCCAGCTTTCACATATTTATCAATTAACGTAGAAACTGTGTAGAACAACCTATCTGTGGAGTAGTTTGTTCTCGAAGTTTTTATTTTCCATGTTTCTTTATGTCATGTTTCGAACAAATTATTTGGCTGCAGTTTCGAGAGGTCGTACAAATAATGTCGACTTTCTTGAAATTGACGCCTGACCACCAATGCTAACTTAAAATCGTAGAGACGATGTAGGGGTGGTATTCCAGCCTGTTGAAACAATTCACTTCTGCGAGCATCATACGACCAGTAAAAAATTATTCTAATATACGTCTTTTGCATCAGGTACAGTTTTTGTAAGCGCGTGTTAGTCGTAGTCCTTCATACCAAGAAACAATAAGCAAGATGCCAACAGAACAGTCATTTATAAAGTAAGAATTTTACCTTGTATAGTAGAACAGTTTTGCCACTGTACACCGTGCCCTCTACGCGAGATAACTGACCCAGCACACTGTAAATGCGATCGTTTCAAAGCATATTGCTCGAAAATGTAACTCCAAGAATTTTTATACAATTTACTAACTCAATAATAGTATCGCCATACTTGAAATGTATGTTTTCATTAACAGACTTATTTTTAGGGCGGAATAGTACCGCCTTTGTTGTACTAGTGGTTATGTTTGATTGATAGCGCCCAAGGGCGACACCCGCAGTTGGGGCGCGTACACATGCTGAAAATGTGCCATTATACTCGTTTGTCAATGAAAAGCAGATCCCTCAAAGTGATATCAAGGTTTCTGCTAAAAGAATTTGGCGAGTGTATGCGTGTGATTCGAGCAATGTTACAGCACTTCAAAATGAAACAAAACACATTTGTCGCTTTACTTATGCGTGCCACAATATGCCAGTTAAAGCTGATGTTTCAAACAAAGTTTCTGCACTTTCGAAGAATATCCTACTTGCTGGCACACAGTGACGGCTTGTGTCTGCAATAAAGAAAAACATATGTACGCGTACAGAGCTGCGTGCATTTGGGTCATAGTTCAATAAAATGTGCTAGCAAGGTTCTGGGCGCGTACATGATACAATGGAGGCATGCAACTAAACTTTTAAAATCTTGCGAGATTTTGGCTTTTCGGCTATTCTCTTTCTCTTTCCTTCTTTGGCTGTTTTGTCCCGCACGTAGTTTGAGAAGAAAGGACGGCTAAATTTTTGCAACACTAGCCGCGCCATGGCTTCTCGGTGCTCGCTAGTAGCGCCTTTATGGCTGAAAAGAGGGTTCAAGGCCACTGCAGGTAGCACAGTTTGCACAAAAAGTGCCATCGGCCTCTTTTTGGAAATGGCCAATGGCGCAAATGCTTCCGCGGCCCTTTCTAGAGTGCTCACAAAGGAAAGAAATGAGATCGTTGGGTATGAAAGCCCTCCCCTGTCTAAATTAAATATCACAGCAGTAGCTGGTCCAGATGAGCTGGGAGCCTTGATTTTGCCGATGCAGTCGTCGCAAGTAATGCAATCCTCAGCTGCTTTCACCAGGAAGCCCGCTATAAGGCCAAGCGTGCTGGCCCTTATGCCTGGCTGTGGGGCACCTGTGGGAAGGTAGAAATGAAAAGTGTGCAAGAATTTTATCAGTATATAGATAAGCATGCATGATTAAACCGACACGTGTCCGTATACAAAATATGAGAAATATATATATATATATATATATATATATATATATATATATATATATATATATATATATATATATATATATGTATATATATATATATATATATATATATATATATATATATATATATATATATATATATATGGATGTTAATGCGCTTTCAGATAACAACTGTTGCCCCACCGCGGTGGTCTAGTGGCTAAGGTACTCGGCTGCTGACCCGCAGGTCGCGGGACCGAATCCCGGCTTCGGCGGCTGCACTTTCGATGGAGGTGAAAATGCCGTAGGCCCGCGTTCTCAGATTTGGGCGCACGTTAAAGAACCCCAGGTGGTCGAAATTTCTGGAGCCCTTCACTACGGTGTCTCTCATAATAATATGGTGGTTTTGGAACGTTAAACCCCACATATCATCAAGATAACTGTTCATTCAGCCGACGTTTGCGTCGGGAGAGCCCCGTCTTTTTCAAGGTATAATAATATTTACACATTTTCCGCGTCGATTTATAGCTTGTCACGACAGGAGGGAAGAAGTCCGGAGAATAGTATAAACAACAACATAAAAAAAACTGAGGGAGAAACGTTTAAAAATAAAAAAAAATCTAGGAGAAGAAGCAAGAGAAAGACGACGGGATTAGGAAGGGACAGCATCTCAAGAGAGTAAGGCGAACGCAAACGAGCCATGCCATCATCTGTGTGCCAGTTATGACAGCGATTCAAAACCGCCGAAAATTTCTTCCCCGATTGCGGGAAAGGGACGTCGGTTAGTCGAGTTGTGTGGGCGCCTGGTGAAAGCATGTTATATTTTTAAATGTAAGCCATAGTACCTGCTTGTACCATGGACTTATCGTTACATACATACACAGTATAACTGATTGAGAAGCATGTTTTCATCTACATCGTGCACTGACGCAAACGCTGCCTCACGCGGCTTGCATGTAACACAGTAAGCAGCGCAGAGTTTATAATATATGCATAATATCGTATAGTGGGGAATTGTTGGACGGTGTGTAATAATTTTTAAATAATGTAAATCATTCCATTACACGGAATCAACGAGATATGAAAAGCGCACCACGGCAAGTCTGCAGGGCTTCTAGATGTGGCCGCATCGTCTGGGTTATAGTAGCAGATGTCGATGCCGCGCACTCGCCTGACGACCCTTGATTCTGGTTTACTAGCGAGTGCATTTCCAGAGGTTGTCCGGCTTGCTTTACTGCTGTGGAGCACGACGCCTGCCTTGCACTGGGCGATCCAAGAGGAGACGTTGTTTGCTCTGTACTGCCGCTTGGTGATGAGTGCATCATTCCCATCACGAGGACTTTCTGCAGTGATGAAAGCGCAGCACGGGCGTCTGTCTGATCGTTGCTTCCTTGAAGCTGTCTGATGGTGGAAAAAAGTGCTTCGACAGGGTCACTGGAGAATTTGGCAGTCAACACGTATAGGAAACCTGAACGGATGAGAAATTGTGTGCACTGTACTGTGGACATTGTGGTCAGTTGGAGAGCTTCGTATGTTTCAAGAGATATGAATGCCCTCTTATGTGGTGCCGCGGCTTTCCATGCTGCGAAAAAGGGCAGAAATTCCTGCTCCAGCCATATCAACCTGAAAATAAAGCAGTTTATTGTAGAAAATATGAAACCTAGCGGGATAAATGGAATGTACCTGTCATCATCTGGGGAACTGAACGGCATCCTGTTTTGGTCCCGGCTTACTACGTGGAAGGTTGTATTTCTTATGTTGTGTATGGTGAACCATTTAAATATCATTTCCATCAGCTCGATGGTTGGCAGGCAGTCTTCAAACCCGAAAATGCCAAATCTGCGGCCGTATTGTAAGAGGTATCGTAAGGCCGATGTCACCTAGAAACCAAGGAGACGCGACATATTAAAAATGATCGGAATTATTTAGAGAGAGGTTTCTAAGCTTGGACGTTCGTATACAGCAAGTGAGACGAGTTACAAGTGGCACTGCAGTCATCAATAACGTGCACTTTTAAGTGAGTTTGTGTTAGTGAACATATATTTATAGAAGCTCTAATGATACGTAATTATTGTGTGGTAAGCAATACGCGCAGGTACATTCGTTAAGAAAGGGAAATTGTATGTTCAGATAACCATGCGCTGTTAGCAGCAGCAGTAGCAGCAGCTCATGTGCATGTTTTTATGTGACCATACTGATAAATATGTTAGCAGTTATATACGTATTGAATTACATTTTCACCATTTGCTTCCGTTTGGGTTCTACAAACAAATAAACCAGAAACTAACATGAATATTCACGTATCGTTTGCGGTGAATTACTATTAAAAGGCAGTTTTTGTACTGCTTCATTTGAACGAAAAGCTGCAAAATTTTTTCTGCTTCTGCATGAACATTCACTTGACGTAATATGATGTAAAATGAGTTGTGGCGTAATATTAGCGCATAAAAGTTTGCCCGAGCGCGCCAAAGAATTTGAGAAGTATAAACGTCACTACTGATAGAAAACTGCGAGCATGATTCTAGCTCAATTAGATGTATTTTTTTGTGTAATACAGGTTGCAGGAAGCATACATAATTTACAGCTAACGAAAAGGCATTTCCTGCATGACCTGTGTGCGTCACGCATTGTGATGTCTACAAGGAATACAGAGAATCTGGGAGTGTGTGACACTAACGCTAAATGGGTTTACACCTTTTCTTATACATGCCTGTGGAGAGAACACTTCAACGGCCCTCTTCACGCTTAATTTCTCGAAGTTCGTCGGGTAAACGTGCTTCTGCGTAAGGTTCCGAACAAGCTTGAACGACGACTGTTTTTCTGTTATGTCCAGCAACTTTCTCAAATACGTGGGGCTGTAGTAATGCCCATTGTTGAACAGAACGCGTTTGGTGGACAACATCTGGTTGCGGAGATTTTTCAGGATGTGGCAGTGGTCAAAAGAAAGGAAGAGCCTCCGATTCATATCCATTGGATGTCTGCAACAACAACAAAAAAAAATGAATAAATAAATTGGAGAAAGGCGGCGTTTGCGGTGTGAATAATTAGTTGCATATACGGTTTTCTGTTTTTTACCAAAGTAATGTAAATGTTAGCCATTCGAAGGACGTGTGCGTTGTTAATTATTACCTTATTATAAAATTTCTCCACTCATGCCATGATCCTGCAGGTCTGTGTGTGTGTTTTATTGAGATTACCTACACCTTAAATCTTCCGAAACTTTAAGTATACTCACCCATTCATACAGTCGCATGCAGGTGCGCATACATTACGCAAACGCGTAACGTCAATTGATTTGTAAAGACGGGCTATTTACAGCGATTGTACTGTTGATAGCAATCTTGTTATGGACACGGCTTTCTTATATGGCAGCGCTGATTAAAAAAAAAGAAGGGGGGGGGGGGGCTCTGATGCTGATACAGGCTTTTTTTTTTGTGCGACCAAGTCTTTTGTTTTTTTTTTCACTCAAACACGGCATGCATGCGCGTGCATACATTGATTGATAGATATGTGGGGTTTAACGTCCCAAAACCACCATATGATTTTGAGAGACGCCGTAGTGGAGGGCTCCGGAAATTTCGACCACCTGGGGTTCTTTAACGTGCACCCAAATCTGAGAACGCGGGCCTACAACATTTCCGCCTCCATCGGAAAAGCAGCAGCCGCAGCTGGGATTCGATCCATGCATACATTGAGGGCACACTGCGAATACATATAAAAAAATATTTACACTAGGCATTGCGCACAGCTTAATGCGAGCTGAGAGCAAAAATATATACTTAGCAACTTACGGCACAACTGGCATCATACGACCATTCCCTAACATGGTGAACATCTTTTTGTTCGAAGCGTGGTTGTCAGCTACAAGTCGGACCACTTGGAATCCTGCTTCTTCGATGGACTTAATTACTTCAAGTGTTAGTTGATGCAGGTGGTCTCCTTTTACTGACTGCGTGAAATAATATCCCACGGGTAGCCTGAAAAAGATAAAAATTAGCAGTATTCTGTAGCGTCGGTGTCAGCTGGGCTTAAAATCTCACTCCGTTGGAGAGAGGAGGAGAGCCAATTGCTCATCTCGAGTGCTTGTCAAATAAGTGCACAATGCTAAAGTTGACTTGCCGGGGGAAAGGGGGGGGGGGGAGCCCTCCTTAAAAAATAGAAGACGACTCCCCCTGCCCCTCCCCAGACTTTCAGCCCTGGTCGCGGAATAGCACATCATTGGTTAATTAAAGACAACGTTTTCTTTTTATATCTATAGGTGGGGTTAGTCTTTCAGTCACAGCGAAACGTATAGTGATAGACAAAGTGATGATTCACTTACGTGTAGTGCGTTGATAAGCCTACAAATACAAAGGCGAGAAGGTGTGTGGCCAGCTCGTTCTGAATGCCCACTTCTTTTTCTAGGCCTCCCATTTCGACTAGGCCATGGACTTTGTCTCCTTTTTTTTCGTACGTCAGTGCTTGCTTTAAAGACATTTCATCCACAATCAAAGAGCCCATTTTTTCCTAACAAAAAAAATGGGGGGGGGGGGAATTCACTGTTAACAGACATGCGTTATATATCGGCGGAGACAGTTAATTATATAAATAACCTTCTTTGTTGTTCCGTACATGACCCATAATTTAACAGAAATGATTAGGGTTTAGAGCAAACATAGCGCACTGCCGTATACTCTTAAACAATACATCTTACGTTCGAGTAATCCTTGCCACAGGTCTGGTCCCTGTTTATTCACTTTAAATCACTTTTCATTCGGCTATACTAGCATGTATTTTGATCAGTCAAACACTGCCGCGTGCGCTGCTTCCTTCGTTATTCGCGTGCATATTGTAAATAATTCTGATCGAAGTAACGTACCCGTTCGGACAAGTGTGTGCTTTCCGTGTGCAGCCTTTGCTTCATTAGCGACGAAACAACTGCTCCAGTACAGTAGCCAATGTAACGCTTCAGTGTCATGCGACTTGGAAGGGTGAGGCACCCAGACCTCCGCAACATTTCGTACCCGCAGGGTGATTTAGCTTGCCACATTATGGCCTGCCTGATGGTCACCTCTTTCCAACGGTGATTTTTCTCACGCAGGCATTGCAATTGCTCCTTCAAAAATTCAGCCTTCTTGTCGTTCTCGTCCAGCATTTCCTGATGATGAAAGGGCAGTTGAAATGCGTAAATCACGCGCAAGATAACATACTGGAAGAAAGCGGAAGTGCAGGGGAGAATGGAAGCTTGACCCGCTGAAACATCGTAGAGCAGGGAATGCCGGCGCATCCAACAATTCGACATTTACGTACTGGACTTGCCCTTGTCAAGACAAGTTTAGATGTTGTGGGAGAGTGAGCAAACGTTCACACACACGCTACTAAAGGAGGCTGTTGCTGTCCTGACAAAGAATAGTGCACCTGATTGTCGAAACCTTGCATTTGGCATCATTCCTTATTCAACAATTCATAATCGCGAGAAAAGATATGCGTTTACTCTTAAGACAATAATAGATGTTTCATGTCACCACGTGGACATTCAATTGCAGCTATGCTACATTAATGAATTGCGCAACTTCAGACTTGCGTCATGTTCAGTAACCGGCCACCGACTCACACATACGGACTAGCGGAAACTGTTCACTTACACTTTCCAAACCATTCCTTCCTTTTTGAATGCAATGCTGCTCGCTCAAGTTTATAAGGCAGACATCACATGTGCGTCAAGCGTGGCTTCCTGTACGAGCATAAACCGATCGGCCCATAGCACCAACACAACACAGCTTGCAAATTACTGTCTTTCCAGTTGTCAGTCCAATGTCCCTAATTGTTTGCGACGACAGAAATTTGAACTCGTTGTTCGCAGGATAAAGGAATAAACTCGGGGTGCGCCAATCACGCAAGGGGGTACACACCGACCTTCGTATCTTAAACACTTGCTCATGTGCGCGCTTACCCACCAACCTTCTTTTATTCCGTGTCCTTATGTCAGGCCTACACCTTCGTATGACCAGAAAGATTGCCAGCATCGGCGTACACTAAAATGTCACGTAAATTTATATGAAGAAGAAAATCTATAAACAGAGTTTCTCTCGAGCAGACATCATGACAGCGGACTTGTCATCCTTAAGGCTATAATTGTATTTCAGTCTTTCAGAAAACAAGCCTGCTTGTCGAAACGCCGCCTCGAAACAACTTTGCTAAAACTACTGATTAAGCGAGTTGGTTCATGATTATTTTCAGTGTTTGTGTGTGTGTAAACAGCGATTAAAGAATGGGAACAACCCCTGTTCACAGGTTTTTTACTGCAAGCTTCCATCCTCCCCTTTCTGACGTTTCTTACAAAAAAGTATAGGGACACTAAGTTAATAGACTGATAAATGAGTACCTGATAATTCTCTATCGTTCCTGTTCCGATCATACGACTATTAGAACAGAAAAAATTAAGACTAGGTTTAATGTTCTGAGTTTGGCGAACAATCTTCGACACGTGCACGTCGCTTTATGTTGCGTCGCTCCTTGTGTACTTGGCCGCATTGGCTGAGAACATTTCTTTGAAACTTGCTACTTCAGACCTTGCATCTACTAACACAGCAGTCTTAGACATTACCTGAGGCCGTCAAAGTATGACGTCACTGCTAGCCGATGCGCGAGAACTTAAGGGTAGCATCGCCACCTTTACAATCTCTTATAGTTTCGAGAATTCCTTCGCTCACCGGACGTCCTCTCGTAGTACGGGTGATGTTGATAGAATTGACTTACTCCTAAATTGTTATTATGTTCAGAGTCATTTAAAATTAAGTGCGAATATAAAAGGATTAATATAACATTCGTCCACTGACGTAACTGCGTACCTGCAGCGTTAGAGCGCCATTCGCCTCGGCGAGGGCTTTCATCTCGAAAAAATCTTTCTTTAGCTTCTCTAGCTGTGAATGCAAATTACTGTTCATTTCTTTCAGCCTGCTGCACTTCCGCCGCAACGTCTTAGTTGCCGCGACCAGGGAGCGCATCTTCTTCAAACCGATCGACGTTTGCGACGTCATGGAGCGCCGCACTGGCCTCTTCTGGTGTTCCCCTTGTATAACTGAACTACAGTCCTCCATGTTGTCCTGACTTGATGGAAAATGCAACCACTCGGCCTCTTGTGCAGTTTCAATTGGGTTTTCAGAACTATACTTCCCCAGGCTCCGCTGATGCTCGCTCTTCTTGAGAAGAATCTGCGTTGGACGTTCCCCTGTTAAGCCGAAAAAATAGCGAAGCATGACAGATATATTGTCCCGCTAAACGCATAAGGGAATACTGCTAACATTATTCTTATCCGTTGTTGTGTTAGACTTCAAGTTTTACTTACAGTATTTTTACTTGTATGGGTGCCAGCGTTGTTTCCCCCTGCGTTCGTTTTAGCCGCTTTTTCCGCGGCATTGGATCTTGCCCACGTGGATCAGGAGAAGCGGGAAATAAGGAAGGCACGGCTGTGGGCTTCAACATCTTCCTTTTCGTCACTGTTCTGTAATCTTCAGCGGTAAAATGCAGGCTGCATACCTTCGACCGGTCGCTGGGCTCCCAGCGATGCTTTCCTGAACCTTCATCAAAGGTAAAGGCGTATACGCATGGCTAGCAAGATTGCAAAATAACAGTCCATAACACCTTTTTTGTAATTAATTTTTCCAAAATGTAACAAGCCAAATGGGGAGGTTAAGAAAAAGCATAGCCACGATTTTATTCTGGGGAAGTACCTGTATACCCATTTAGTGCATTTTCATATTTTCTCGCAGCCTTTGTAAATGTCTTTTTAGATGACTACATTCGTCGATTGATGTTTAGTGATGGTACGTGGTCGAGTCCAGTGGCATACTTGAAGCCCTTTATTCGAAGAGCTCATTGGCTATACAAGGTTTCATAACAAAGCTGAATTTCCTAATGGCTGCTCAGTAACGAAGCGCGACCCAATACGACAGAGCCGAAACCGAGGCGCACTTGAGCGCCTTGGTCTTGGTTTAGAGCGCAAACCTCTAACCTGTACAATGACTCCGCCGTTGACGACGATGACTTCAGTGGTTTTTGTTCTTTTGCATTCTCCAAAACGAATCTTTGTCATGCATGATGTAATCTCAGATGCAGCACGCACATAAATAGAGTATCTGTCGCTGATTATTCCAGGTTCCTCATTTCGGTTTCACCGGCTGGGTCTCTTAACCCTCACAGAGCCGATGGGCTCATTGCACGAAGGACTTCAATTATGTCATTATACCCGACCGCCTGCCAGCCCTATATAGAGTGAACAGTTAATCGCCACATTTCGTTACCGGCGTAACGTTTCTAATTACCTTAAGTAAGCTTATACAGAAACGAACAAAGCTGTATGGGAAGATAGAGGTTTGAGATGAGAAATACATTTGACCAAATTCGGTCGCTAACTTCAGTGACACCCAGTGTTCAAGAGTTGTCCATCGCTAAACACACACACACACACACACACACACACACACACACACACACACACACACACACACACACACACACAGAGAGACAAACTGTGGAGGCAGCACGTAAATATTTCATATCATTAATTTTTTTATGGATTTCGGCGGCATTTGTTGAGGCAGCCTTCGGGAAGGGTGCTCGAACCCATCGCAACCCACCGCTACGCATTTTTACATAATTTACAGATTTCGTATATTTACTTTTTTCTTGTGTGCTATATTTAAATTTCTTGGCACTATTTGTGGAGCCTGCCATATTAGCCGCGGTACTTTAAAAAAGCTTTCATGTTTTTTAGCTCAGTGAATTAGCATAACACACGGAAATAAAGTTTACTAAAGCACCCTGGTGCTTCTTGCTAGCTTGCAACTCGTTCTGAATTGAAACGACTCTCAAAAACACAAGACTCACCTTTTCTTCCAATTGCCTCGATCCATTCTTCCCGTATGTCTGTGGCAGGAAACTCGTGAAAACTTACTTTACTTTGTTTGCCTTGTTCCGATTTGCAATATGGCACGCAGCAATACACCATACTTACATTTGAGGTGTCAGCTCATCTAAAAAAAAAAAACTGCACGCGGCCACTATTAGAGCTGACTACTGCAGCTATCTGCCGTCTGCAAGTTTCTGCACACGACCTACTGTGTTTCTGCGTATCTTCTGCAATTTGTGTATGCGTATCGTCTGGAACCATCGTGATTCAGTGTGAACAATGAATGCCTAACAATAGTTTTTTTATCTCGTTGGACTACGTTTTCATTCAAGAAATATTTTCATAATAAATTTTCCTTCATTTGTAGAAAAGTTCCCGTCTGCTTGCCACTGTGACCCTTTGTGTGCTTTTTTTACGGTTCTATTTCTGCTTCAAACGTCCACACGAATGCAGCCAACTCTGACGAGGAATCATATCGCTTTATTTGCCATATTTTACACATTCATACACAATTCATGCACAATAAGAACGATTTGCACTGCCACAGCGATGGCTGAAGCAGACGACAGCGAACAGGTGCTGCCTAGCGCCACGCCGCTCGTAGGTGACGGCCCTAGCGGCAGAAGGTATGAACTAGAACGTGGGCGCTGGAAGAGGTGCTCTCTGGGCAGGTCAGGAGTGTAGTAGGTCATGCCCGATAGCACGCTAGTAGTTGTATCATAGAGTAATATACGGCTGTATTGCTTCAAGGTAAGCAGACTTGAAGCAATGTCTACTTGCTCTCTATGTAAAAAGTCAACATGGCCGCTGTAGCGGGCCGCAGAAGGCGTGGGCGGGGTGCAATTTTGGGCGTAAACTGAAACAAAAAACGTGACGCTTGCTCTCAGCTTCGCAAGACCGGCGTGACAGCGACGGGCCAAGACAGTTCCTTCCACGAAGCCTCGCCCGACAGCGTCGCCACATTGTCGTGTCAAAGGGGCGAATCGCTACGGTCACGGTGGTAAGATGAGACATCGCCGCATCGGAAATGGTGTCCCCAGCCGAAGACGAATGCCCGAAGGCCGGCATTCGTGTTCAGAAACTGCGCAAAAGACTTCGGGACCTTCGTGAGAGGGCCGTCGCTTCCGGTCTGTCCGACGAGGATGTTTCGGAGATCGCTGCCGAAGAAGCGGCGCTAGCGACGAACGCCGCCGTCCCACCAGGCGAACGACTACTGGTCAAATGGGCCGTCGTCGTTGCCGCCTTGGCGTACGCCTTCTTCAGGGACGGCGTGCCGGACCTGACTCACTACCACTGCCTCGTGGACGCCGGAGCCGTCTTCAGAGAGTTCACGCGACCCGTGCTCTCGTGCGACTTCTGTCGCGAGCCGACGCGGGTGACGGAGTTGACGGACATGAGCAAGGAGGAGTTCCAGCGACTCGGCTACGCCGACAAGCCGATCGTGCTGCGGGGCGCCGCGGCGCACTGGAAGGCGATGAAGACCTTCAGCTACGCCTTCCTTCGGGACGTCTACCTCAACACGACCGATGCGTTCGAAGAGAGCCGCCGCTACTGCCAGTTCCTGAACGCCGCCACCGACTTCGTAGACCTGGAGGACTTCTTCTCCATGCCGGACTCGAGGGTCAACATGTCGGGACACGAAGAAGAGACGTGGTACGTGGGATGGTAAGTTCGAGCTTGATTATTTCTGAAGCTGCGCTGGCTTCGTTCACACCACGGTTTACTTTGCGAAAAATTGTTATCGCGCATGCGCGAGTAAATTTGGTGCATTTTCCAATTAATCATATATATATATATATATATATATATATATATATATATATATATATGTATATATATATATATATATATATATATATATATATATATATATATATATATATATATATATATATTGTCTCCGACGAAGGCAGGCCCACCTGCCGAAACGTTAGTAAAACTAGTGTTTTTTCGCACGTTTGTCGACCTCTTTTTATACTGTATATATATATATATATATATATATATATATATATGTGTGTGTGTGTGTGTGTGTGTGTGTGTGTGTGTGTGTGTGTGTAATTTCGTTTCTCCCTTTCTTTCAGCACACCACAGAACTTACTATGAGTTATGGGGACTCAGAAATTTTGGAAAAAAAGGGGGGTGGGGGCTTTGTATTGTCAGGGCCATTCGCTGGTATGAGCAGGGCTAAACCCATTTAAAGTGAGAATGGCATTCTGGGATCGAGAGTTCTTGGCTGGAAAACGTCCTTGCAGGAATATGCCATTGTACTTACTTGAACAGACTGTCCAGAAATCACTCAACGTAGCATCAAAGTCTTTTCATTGGTGCGTACTGCCATGCATGTGCAGGACCCTCTATTTCACCTTTTCATTCTTGTCTTCCTTTTTTTGCCACTATGGCTTCTCTTTTCACCCTCTTCTCCCAGGCAAACCAGAATGTTCTATTCAGGATACTCCAGCGTCTCTGCCTTTCCCATCACCTATTCTGTTTATCACAGGTTGGCACAGTTAGTGGGTTACCACCCATACTCACAGAAGAAAGAAAAGTGTAAAAAAGAGCGTCACGTGACAATCTTACTCATAGTAGGACACAATTTTCTATTTTTCTCTGTTGTGCTTGAGGCTTTCATGCTTTGACATTTCTTAATGAGGTTCATCACCTCCTGGGACAGCTTGCTAATGTCCTGTCTACCTACCGTACTTCCAGCTTCCACTTCACACTTCATAATGATACTCGTCATATTATCATTTATTGTGTCAACACTAAGGCGTTGATGCTTGATGAAATCAAGAGGATGAAATCTACATGGGTCGGACACATAGCGCGTAGGCAGGATATACCGTTGGTCATTAAGGGTAACTGACTGTATTCTCAGAGAAGGCAAGTGGGTGGGAGAGACAAAAAGTTAGGTAGGCAGATGAGATTAGGAAGCTTGTGGGTATAAAGTGGCAGCAGCGAGCACAGGACCGGGTTAACTGGCGGAACATGGGAAAGGCCTTTGTCCTGCAGTGGGCGCAATCAGGCTGATGATGACAGTTTTAAAGGTCTGCGGCATTTTCTCCTTAAAGTCTGCACCAATGGGCGCGCCTTTCAGGCTGACGTCATGAGCCGAACCGTGACTCCCCCTTCGGAGAACATTGCCGAGTGCATATAGGGGACTATTTATTTAGCTATAGAAGTGATCAAATGCCACAATTCAGTATGGCAGGGGCCTCTCGGGACTTCTTAAGTTGTATCTGACTGTAGTCACAAGAATTTTAAAGCAGTCGTGAACCACTTGTCCAAGTAATTATCGAATCACTTCACTCCTGGAGGTTTATCGCCTCACAGATCGATTGCCGCAAAAATTCCTTAGATCTGTCCGGAACGAGAATAACTAAAAGGGTTTATTGCGTGCTTTAAGCACTTTTTTTCCTCATCATGATGAGCGCATTGGAAGGTACTGAGGGAACGCTCGAACAGAGGAAATAAGTTCGGTCAGCGTGCCCTATTATCAGCGTGCCGAAATCAAGGTCATCCTCTTTTTTTATGCGCTCGATCACCCTGAGTCTGCGTAATGAAATGGAATCCTTCTCCTGTTAAGATTCCTGTGTGGGTAATTGTGTGTGCTGCACCGGTACTGGGCAGCACTCTATGGACAGAAGCGGGTCTGTGCGAACACCGCTTAAGATTCATGTAAGCTATTGTTAGCAGGGGTGCAGGCAGAAATTTTTTTTAGGAAGGGGAACCTCTTTGATTAGAAGTTTTGGCTGTGCAGGCAGACACGGTCGAGTGTCGCTTTGGTCGCTGCATGACATGACGAACAAAATTTGGAGGGGGCAGCTACACCACTGTTGTCGATGTCTGCCATCTTCAGGATATGTTTTGTCATTAAGCCAGAGGAGTGGTTCTTAACTTAGTCAAGGGACAAATAGGCCATGATTATGCAATAGGCAAGCGTTACTATCAGGTCATATTCGTTGCTTCTGCAGTGGGTGCTGCGGGGGCTTTATCCCTCATCCAAAAAGCACTGGTTGGGAGAGCTGGAATCAGGGTAGGTTGGTGTGCTGAGCCTAGTGGCATGACCTCCTAGTGTTTTCTTACTCTATGCTCGTACTCGGTAGTTTCTCGGGCCGCATGCTGTCCTTGTCTGGCTGCCCCGAAAATCGCACTGACAGGCTTTGTCTTTTTTCAGGAGCAACTGTGACCAGCGGATTGTCTCAGTTCTGAGGGAGCACTACACGAGACCCAACTTCTTCCCCAACGATTCTGAAGCGAGCATCGTCGACTGGATATTTATCGGATACGCAGGACAAGGACTCAGACCACATGTAAGCCCATGTACTCATTTATGCTGGGAAAGGGTTATGGCCTGGAGATATCATTACATGCACGGTTGCTCCCATATCGCTGCTTAGGCATTACCTAACATTCTTGTGGAAGAGTAAACTGCAGGGCTAGTTGGTTGCGTATGAAAGGTTGAGATATGTTGTCGTGAGGAATAAAATGACTTCGTCTTCTTATGTTTGTCATATTATTCCTTGCACTAATATATCTAGTCCAGTGAAACAAATACTCTTGTCTAGGAAAATGACAATTTCGTTGTCAGTGCAACTATATATAGTATATATTTTATAGGGGTGTATGAGGTCTTTTACAGTATGCCTACTTGTTCTGGCTTTCATCGAATGTTAGCTCTCCTCAGATCTATCTAGAATTCGCAAATTTGGGATTATCCTATGGTCTTTCTGATACTGTGTCATATGTACTGTAGTTTCGTTAGCAGAAAGAGCTTGACTGATTGGTCTGGGACCTTTCTGGTGACTCATTCTTAGCCATTTTTACCACATATACTCACGAAGGGACGTAGCTTGTCTATTGCATGGAATGGGTTGAAACGCACTTTCCCCGACCTATTAATTCAGATGCAGCCACCTTGATTACATATTTAGGGTAAAAGAAAGTGACGCTAGTTGGTACGGATTTACGATAGAAGAAGTTGGTATAAAGACACAGATGCTAGCAAATAAATCGGAACAACACAAACCCCGTCGGGCATTTGAAAGGCTGGACTGTTTTGATGAAGAAAGTAGGCACAAAAACTTGTAGTATGCACAGGCATGCAGTGCTACCTGTAATTCTGCTACGTGGGTGGTTATACGTGCGGTATTTTTGTTGTTCATAGATGTGTTACGTACAGCGCTTTATGTACGACGCTCACCGCAGACATGTTTCTCAACTGTCGTTAATAAGTAGAAAGTCGAAAAAGCGCAGCAAGAAGTAGCCCACATGTCTCGCACCGAGTTGGTGAATTTCCTGTAGAAGATTTGACTCATGCCTACATGCCGACCTGAAACATTGGCATCGTTGATGCTTTGGTAAATTTGGTAGTGGGAGGAATTCTGTGAATGGTAATCTCCAGGTGTATATATTATCCTCTTTTCAAGTTTCACAGCAGTAAAGCTACTATACTTTTTTTGTTACAGCTTAGTTAGACAGGTTATTTCAAATGCTTATTCTGCAAGGAAAGAAAGAGTAGTCAAGGGAACTTATTTTTTGGGTTAATTGTGTAATTGTTTAGGAAAGTCGATTTATGGTTGCATAACCTGTTAATCAAATCAAAATATGCAACATGTTGGTTTTGTAATGACTGTTTGTTGATTCATAAAAAAAAACATGGGTCTACGCTCTTTCTTTCAGCTGGACTACGTCCTCCGTCCATCGTGGCAGGCCCAGATCCGGGGATCAAAGACCTGGACGCTGACACCGCCGCCAGAGTGCGAGTCTGCGTGCGTGCCCTCGCTGAAGGTCACCGTGCGGCCCGGCGACATCATACTGGTCAACACCAACCACTGGTACCACAGCACGTTGGTCGAACCGGGTGAAATGAGTATCACCATTGGATCGGAGTATGACTGAGGCATGCCCGGCGGCACCGAGTACCCGTGTCACGAGGGCATTAGTAACGACGTTAAGCGCTCAATGGGTCGAAGTTTAAGTGCCACTTGTCCGGTGCCGCACGGGCGTGCCCTTTCATTCGCAAATTGATTGATATGTGTGGGGTTTAACGTCCCAAAACCACCATATGATTATGAGAGACGCCGTAGTGGAGGACTCCGGAAGTTTCGACCACCTGGGATTCTGCCTCCATCGGAAATGCAGCCACCGCAGCCGGGATTCGAACCCGCGACCTGCGGGTCAGCAACCGAGTACCTTGGCCACTAGACCACAGCGGCGGGGCTTTCATTCGCAAATTACCCACTGCGGTCATGAAGTTTCATTGTGAAACACTAGAAGTAAATTTGGTGCTAGGGTCCAAAAGCTGCAGTGCGTAGCGCTTCAGCTGAACTTTCGTTCTTTTGGCTTAGTGTGTCTTTTAATTGCAAAGCGCTTTATGGGGCTGGGCTGTCGTGTGTCGTCGTCGTCGCCTGGCGTAGCGCTCCATCTGTAGCATGCACGCCAAGGAAAAGTCTTCCTGTCCTAGTTCTCAGAATGCCGTGACGATGATTACTTATCATCAGCAGCAAAAAAAAAAAAAGACTAGTGCGCTTGGTGTAAGCAGGAAAAACTACGTTTGAAAATAGAAAAAGGAAGGGGAAATAGGAAGAAAAAGAGAAAGCGCAACGAGGAGAAAAAAAGACAAAACAAATATAAAAAAAGAGGAGGAAAAGAAAGATACAAAGGAAAAAAGGACCACCGCCCTGCTCCGGGCTTACGTCAGGCTTAGCACCCCAAGTGTATACTTGCCTTAATTGTTTTGCTTTTAAAACTGCTAACTGTCCAGGAAGTTTAGCTGTTCAACTTGCAATCTAGTCTTTTTAGGCTCACTGATTCAAGTCGGCTTATGAGGTTCATAATGAGCCATTATATTGTCGAAAACAAACGCCATAACGTAACAATGAACGGAGCCACAAGGGCACTCAGAGCTGCAGGTTCGAAGGCTAGGCAAATTGCTCCGCTACCCGTCATTCCCCCGGTGGCTGAACCATTGCGGCGCCATAGTTTCCTCTAGTAAATATTCTAGAAGACCCTATGGCTGTGCACTCAAGCCTTATCACAGCAGTCACATCTGCCACGAAAATACTTCGTTATATTTGAAAATTTGCTGTAAGCAATTAGTTGTGACACTGTATCTCTGGTAAAGATGTTGATCACTTAAGTTGTTATAACCGATAATTCATTACATTTGAATTCATTACATCCCAGTGTTAAAACGATTATTTGTGATGCTGTATCTATAGTAAAGCTACTGGTCACTTACTCCGTTATAATCAATGATTTGTTGTATCTGAATTTGTTATATGAAATTCTAAAAAAGATTATTTGTGACACTGGTGTCTATGGTAAAGCTATTAGTCATTAACTTCATTTTAATCGATAATGTGATATAGCCGAATTCCTTGTATCGAGGCTTGAGTGTGGTAGCTTAGCAGGCTGAAGTGTTGCACTGCTGAGCTTAATATCGCTGGCTCAATACCCGGCCACAATGACAGCTTTCTGAAGGAATCCAAAATGCAGCAACACCCGTGTGGGTGGATTTAAGTGCACGTTCAAGGGGTACTGACACCTTTTCCGGAGGCGAGTTTACTCTGCCATACGAATCTCCTTTTACAGAGATGGCTCTGAGCAAGTGTGACACTCAGAAAATGTTAAGATGTTTCATTTTGATAGCAAGGCAAATTTGCTCGTGGCGCACCTACTGAGATTGACAATAACTTGACGTCAAGCTACAGTACTGATGTTGGTGACTTTACGCAGCTCTCTGGCTAGTTGCGATGACATCAAGCACCAAAAGAGAAAAAATGGCAGCTTGCGCGTTGCTTTCTTTACTTATGCTGTGCGGTTGTGCTGTCCGTTGTTGACAGTGTGACAGTTGTTATACGAAGCAGCCGGTCGAAGCGACGCCCGGGCGAAGATACGCCACAAAAACTTCCATTGCTCATACCATGTCGTGACGTCAGGGTACAGTAGGAACTGAAACTAACTTCGCCAAAAATGCTGTGATTAATTTTTCAGGCCGCACTCATGCATGCTTATCGATGTATTTTCTGTGCTATCGAGGGATTGGCCTATCATTTTATGGAAAAAAATGGGGAGTGAAAAATTTCATTTAGTACCCCTTTAAAGAACCCCTAGTGATGAATACTATGGCAGATGACTTGACATTCAATGACTGCATTCGCTGCAGCTTTTGACACAATGGAATTGGGGGCTTCATGTGCTCGACTCCTAATGGGCATTAACCTTACCCATGTGGCACGAGTATTATGCTAGTTGACGCCAGCCACCAGTACCAGGACACACTGGTTGGCATTTTTGGCTTACGTTATTGCTGTCAGAAGAGGGCACAGTTTAAGTGTGCCTAATGTTTAAAGTTGGCTACAGCAACTGTACTGTAGTGGTACTGTTGTGGCACATTAGAGTGGTTACTATGCTATTTTTAAATAGCTTTCTATCGCCATGTTGGCGCAGAACTAGCTCAAATGTCGGCAAAAGCTTTTAAGGGTTTAACTCTGGAATCAGCTTAAAGGGGTCCTGCAACACTTTTTCAGCATGGTCAGGAAATGCTACCGGAAATGCACGCAAGCCTAACTTATGACAGTGCAGTGGTAGGCAGTCATTGGAAGTTCAGAATCGCTCACACATTCGAGGGAAAGCGATATCGCCAACTGCAAGAATGCAGCATACCACCAGTATGGAAATGTCCCAACATCCGTTTATAAATAACGAACATCTTCTCTCATAGAGCGAGCTGGCATGCAGTTTTGCGCAGCTCCACCGCAGCTCCCATGCTCCTCTTCATTTTTGGGTCACCAGCACCTCCATTACCACTCCCTTTTTCCCTACAGTGCTGGCAATATGGAGAGCCTAAATCTGTGCATCTTTTAGCTTGGCAAGTGTTTGCCAATTAAAGTGTGTCACAATGTGCCACTGGTACATACTGCTTATAAAAAAAAGGGACAGTAAAGGCAGGCATTGAATCAATCTAAATATCGTTAGGATATCAATTTATGCTATACAGGCGACTTGATTCCAGAAAGCGATCAGAACTTGAAAGGAACTGCGGAATCATTTTGCAAACCTATTTGCCCATGACAAACATCCAATACATAGCCCCAGTGCATTGTGCCAAGGATCTTGGACTTCTTTCTCTGCCAGGTTCTGTGGCCTTTCTCGAGTCAAATGTATGCACATAGAGGGCAGCACAGTCCTTCAAACCTAGTCCGCCTCTGTGGATCAGTGGCTAGGGTGCTCGGCTGCTGACTTGAAAGTTTCAGGTTCGATCCTGGCCGCGGTTGTTGCAGTTCAATGGAGGCGATACGGTCGAGGCCCGTGTACTGTGCGATGTGGGTGCACGGTAAAGAACATCAGATGGTCTAAATTTCCAGGGCCCTCCACTACGGCGTCTCTCGTAATCATATCGTTGTTTTGGGACGTAAAACCCCACATATTATTGTAGCCCTTCGAACCTAGCCCACAGAGAAATTTCTGCAAAAGTTGAGCTTGTAGTGATTTGTGCTCTGCTAAACCAGTTAAATTGGTGTATGCAACGTCTTCTTTAATGTTAACGTGTGGTCTGACCTCAATGTTTGAGTCAATGATAGGCAACTTGCTTGTTATCTTGCTCATTTATCTTCTTTTCTTTTTGCATAAACAATTAAACAAGCCCTACCTGTTGGGCCGCATCATCCGCAAACTTGCTTTCACAAAAGGAGCACATTGAATCATGAGCGCTGCTGCAGGCGACACATGAAACTCCACGATGGAGGTTTTGCATGCATATGTACACATGGCCCTGCCAAGATGGCCGAGCTTCTGCAAGACACTTGACGCTGGGTGACCCATTCCTAAATAGTATTGCGTGCGTTTGGATGGTATCACAGCAAATGGAAGAGTGGCAGGAGCAGTTGTCCTGGTCTGCCAACTTGCGCATCGCTTAAAATTTTAATGTGCAGTCTTCCGTTTTAACTGGCTTTGACGACATCTGCAGAGAAGCATTGCACATAAGGATATTGCATATTGTTTCCATTGTTTTTATAGTCGCAGCGTCGGCCCTGTGTTCACGTTTTTTCTAGTGCATGTGCCGAAATGCGGTTTTTGGTAAAAGTGAATTGAAGACACCGCAAAGGAGTAACTGTAATCCACCGCTCTAGCTTGATTTAATGCCTGCTTTTAGTGTCCCTTTGTCTAGAATGATGCCTTATGCACTGTTAAGACACATTGTCTTGAAGCACAAGTCCCAGTCTTTCATGCGTGTTTGTAGCAGAGACCGTGCTGTTGCTGTGCTGTAAACATGTAGCATGCCAAAATGTTGAGTAGAGTTTGCAGAGGGTTACATTAGCATTGTATTGCTCAGTATATGTGGACTGTTTCAAGTATGAAACTTACGGGTTCAGCATTTTAGTAGAATGTGCGAACCTGTGTGTCTGGATCATGTGGTGCGCAGTTAAGTAGTTTAGCCAGTAGGGCATTGCTTGGTTAGGTAGCATAGTGCTTTAAGCAGTTGTCTTCCATGGATTTTTTTCTGGTGACATTTAGAGTAGACAGATGCTTCCATTCTTGCAACAGCTGCAATTACGACAACGAGAGTTACACCAACTTCCGGTTGTAGTGGTGTGGAGACGCAAGTGGAAGCCGTTCTAACTCTGTGCCGAAAGTCCTGCTTCTCGTTATCTCTCGACGATGGGGCTTTCCCTAGCAGAAATCAAGCCCTTGACTGACGGTCAAGGCTATCTCGCTATTGAGTCTCATTAATGTTTTGTGCGCTCCCAGGCGTGCGTTCTGATGCAATAAGTCTGTGGCAGAGACCGAGCTTTATGCCCGACTTGTCGGGCTTCGGCAATAACTAGGTATGAAACTGTTACTTTGTTACTGTATGAACTGTTTCGTACACTTGAGCCTAGTTATAACGAAGTCACATTTGATGCAAAGACGTTTGTTGTGTCCATCAATTTGTTATATTTGCGTTCGTTATGCGGAAGTCTGAGTATACTGGTATTTTTTATATCTAGTCCTTTTGTACCAAAGTACTATTGCACGGCTGCTTCAACAGCTGACCACCTGGCATACAGCACGTGCACTTGTCAAAATGTATTTAATTTTGAAGCAGTGTATTTTTTGAAAGTGTAGAATTTTTTATAAATGTTGTCAAGGTATTTCGTGCACGCGAATGTTGATGCGGTTGTTTTTTTGTCTTTCTATCGCCACTTAACAGAGCTGGCCTCGGCCTTAACGTGAGGGGCCCAAAAGTGCGTCGACATTTCTTTGTCGCTTTCTACATTCGGAATTTCGATGGGCAGACCACGGCCCTTGATGTTCGGCGCTCAATGCATGTCACGTGTTTTGGATTGATGGCGTTTTGTTATTTGCACGTTATATGTCCACAACAAGGATGCATTCACCTTGTGGTCAATATTCTTACAATATTGCCAGAATGTCGGGTATTATGCTGCACGTGCACTAATTTCAATGTTTAGCGATGTTGTGTAAGTTGTGGCCGTACATACGTACACAGTATCCACGCTCACTAACGCACACTTTCGATATGAAGTGTTATAGACAAGGCTTACTAATATATAGAATCGGCCAGTAATCATTCCACATAATAGTTATAGTGAACTAGCTACATGTAGACTTCTCAAAATAACGTCTTTCACTACTTCTACTCCTGATAGCATGCTGAAAAGCGTCACTGCAGAAAAAAAAAGAGAAAGAGAGAGAGAGAGAGAAAGATTACACTAACTTTGTATCGTGCCAATACTGAAAAGAAGAAGAGAAGGCTCAGGAACGTACAAAATCTGCAAGCACACGTCCAGACTTAAAGTGGGACACCAATTTCACTAGGCATCTGCACGGACGTGCTTTCTTACGTCTGGTTTTCGTAACACACCCCTAAAATCTGTGCTGAACAGGTTGCTGGATGCATCTTACTTTCTTATTGTCTGTGAACCTTTTGGGGATATTTGTCGCATTAGTAGTGCTGATAAGGTTAGTTCATCCATTCGCAGCATAAAAGCGAAACCTGAGGCGCAGTTTCGGTTCAACCGACTTTTGCATAAACGGGAGTGCTACCGTTCCACATTTAGCAAATTAGTACATCAAAGAAGGCGAGAAAAGTGAGGAAAATCTGACATCGTTTGACTCGAGAACGACACTTAGCATGTTGATACGTCTGACATGCTTGCCTTTTCTGCATGAGGAAGGTGCTAGCAAGTCGCTCTCCGTACAGACGGGTATTGGAGTAATAGCGCCACGACACGTCGTCACGACATCAGCCAGGACATTTTGAGAGCCTTCTTTAGGATACGATTTCAGTTTTCAGAAGGCACATGCCTGATCATTTACCGAAGAGTTACGATCCATAAGACGAAATTAAATACAAATGAAAGATTTAGAAAAAAAACGACCGATTGGAACCCGTTCCAGATGGGAAGAGTTGGAAGTGGGACGCGAGCTCACTATGCTGCCGTTTTTCGGAAGACGTGAAGGTTTCGTAACATTTACGTTGGCATTTCTCACTCGACTACAACCTTGATGGCAGACATCAAAGCAGTAGTAATACACGTACAAGTCAACTCTAACAGGTTTACATTCGGCTAGTTCATTATATCGACAACACATTTTTCTCAGGCGACTTGCATGAAACATTTTGTTTGATACGTTCAAGATTTCAATGTTCACAAACACTTGCATTTTTTGAGCAATCTTTGTGATGACAGAGCACTCAAAGCAATAATGCGTTTGTTCAGTCAAGTTCAGACTGATATGGAGTATATGTGTTTATGCTGCAACACAAGTGCTTTTAAATGTCGCTACAGGGATTTGTACAGCCATGTGCCTTTTGTGAAGTCTTTGCTATTTTCTTGTGTAATGAATGGTTGGCTGCTAGGTTGACATGCTGCAATTTACACTGTGAACTGTTTATATGCTAATATATTGCTGTTCATCAAGGGCAATTTACGGAACAGCAAACATGGTGCACACTGGAAATGTTGCGGTTATCGCATGTGTAGCCGTGCGGCAGATTGTGCTTCCGTATCCCAGGATGAGATTGTTCCCTGCCCCAAAACTTTGTATTGAAGTTTAAACACTTTTTCAATGTACCGGTATTGCCGTTTACCAACTTCACTTGTTCATTATCAGCACTTCTTGTATTGCACATGTTTTCCTATGCAAACAAACCTTTTAATTCAGGGTTTGAAACATTGGGGCAGCAATAACTTTACGCTCACTGAAGGCCAGCCACTGTATGTGTGCATCTAAAGTTAGGCTAAGAAATGCCCTGTTGAGTTTGTGTGGTTGTGAAATTACTACACTTGGCACGTGCTAATGGGAGAAATCGTGCAAATCTGGATTGCAGCAAAAGTTGCAACGTATTGCCCTAAGAGAGTCTTTGGGCATTCGAGCATAACTTGTTCATTCGTGATCCGAAATAGTCATACGACTGAAGCGGAAAGAAAGGTCTTCTCATTACGAGGCCCACAGTAATGTCCTTGCCCCCTCTTGGGTTGTGTGTCGTGTTATAGAACAGTAAGCAAGTCGAAGTCTGGTTCATCTTCAAGAGAGACTTGTCTGCGGATTTCTAAAAAACACTTTATTCATGGCTGAAGTCTGTTGCGCACTTTAGTTGGAAGTCTGTTCAGCTGCAAGTAGTTTCCTCTAAGCAACTTTTATTAGAGAATTGCTCCAAGTGACAATTTCAAAAGTTCAATGCATAATGTGGCATTTTAACTATATACTGTGTGAAAGTGAGTGGCATAAAAAATGTGTTATTTTCTTTTGCGCTAGTCTCTTCTTGCTGTACAACAGGCCTACCTCCCGAAATTACTGCTTTTTCCTGTCAGCTTGGATTCGCGCTTTGCATTTTTTGAAAGAAATATACTTTCTTATTGCACGGGGAACAAAGGAGACTGGATAGAGTGCATTGTCCTACTAGTCTCCTTTCTGAACCATTCCCTGCGCACTAAGAAAGTATATTTCTTTCAAAAATGCACAGACAGCCAGCCCAAGTAGCCACTTTCGTGTGCTTTGTATACCGATGCCTCATAAAAGCTTTTGTGTTATCGTAATAGTAGTAGTTTGTATTTGTTCCTGCATGGAATGTGCAGTTTCTGCACCCAACTTTAAACTTGTCGCAAAAATCATTTGATGTGCTGCAATGCGTACGCTTCAGAATGTTTTATACCAAAGGCTTAGCAATGTCAAATGTCTTGCCACATTTACCAGTGCAATTGCAGAGATTTTCTTGAAAGCTTCCAAGGGCAAGTGTATTTTGTATGCAAGAGCAACTGTATAATGGTCATCTTTATTAAGGCAGCCTGTCAATAATTACAAGCAATACTTGTTCTTCTGGTGCTACAGTTCTATGTGGCATTTTTTTCACGAGGCATCGTTTTCAGGGTTTCGTCGCCGTCCTATTTACAACCGTGGAAAGTAAAAAAAAAAAGTGTCAATAAAGAGTTCAGCGGCACAGCTTGCTTTGGTAATTTTTTTATTCCTTCATTTTGTACACAATGTTTGGCACGCACATTTGTACAATATGCCACTGGCTTCCGTATCAAAAGCAGCGCGCTGAGATCGGTGCATGCCGCAAGTTTATTTGGTTAACAAAAGGAAAGTGTGGTTTATTTTGAAGTTTCGAGATTCAGAGATTGATTCAAGGGTGCTGTTTAACAAAGCACCTTCGAGTCTCCAAGATTGTGCCTGGCTTGGCTGTGAATGCTAACTGAACATATAACGATTTCACAATGCACACTTCAGTACAGCATGACCTTCTCGCCCCAAAAGTGAAATATGAGGAGCGTTGCACAAGATGACCTTGCACTATGGTTGTTGCTGCCAGACACCATGCATGCGCTCTTCATAAGTTATACATAAGTAAAATTTCAAAATGCTTATTACTTCTAAACTGCTGCAACCTCAAAAACCATAAACTAACGAAGGTGACAAAAATGGCTTTTCCATTCCCATGGTGCGCTAAGTGACATGTATATGGAGCGTTGTCAGCACCAACATGAGACAGAAACGCTGGTACAAGTACGAAACGACACACTAGTTTGCATCATAAAATGGCATTGCGACAACTATGAGCGATTTTCAGCACTCGGATTTTAAAATAAAATTAAATTCAGGCATGTCCTACAAAGATGCGAGACCGTCGTGCGTCTTACCACATCGCTCTGAACAGCCTATTTGCAAGAAAATGCACTTTATAATCTTAAAGGGTTGCTCTGTCCTCAAACCAAACAAGAAAGGTGTCGTTAGAACATTGAATTGGCAGTCTAGGAAAGTTCATCTTCGATATACATTATGAATCTCTTGAAAGACGCACCACCTAATCAACCCCGCAAAAGCCCAAGCAACATTTCAGAAAAAAGGATTACCATAACTTGTTCAGTTATAATTGCTGGCTATTAGCAGTACATTCACGCCTCCAAATGGTAAGGCAATTAAACGTTACTTGAGTAACATGCTTATCATAGCAAATAATTAGTATTATAATAGTCATTTTCAAACTATGCATTTTCAATCTGGCATATTCAAAGTATGCATAAGAAACAATGGGAAGTTGGGCTGTGTGGGGTCAAGGATGCATTAGATAAGGTTATGAAACGCGTGGACAGCACTGAGAACTATGAAACAGTGATGCGAGAAGCTAGAGTCCCTCTCTGTTGCATTTCTTGTGCCCAATTTTTCACTTAGGATTCTGACAGTAAAGATGCCAGACCAACACGCCGTAGAGAAGCAGAGCCAGGTATGATGCATGTTTCCTCGCTGTCAGTGCTGCAAACGCGTCTCACAATGGTGGTGTGCAGCTCGGCTTTCACCGACGTTGGCCGCGCTACGACCTTGCGTTGCGTTCGGTTTCCATCAGACATTCCCGGACAAGAATGCGTGCGTGCACAATGCCTCGCTTGAGGCGCTCGGCTGACGACTTGCTCCCAGCGTATGTCGGCCTGATGTCGCGTCCGAGCTCCTCAATGACTGCCAGGAGCTGCGTGTACTTGGACGTTTGCGGATGACGCGCAGCTTCGCCAGCGACCAGTCCGAGGTTGACGGCGCCTGGGCTGTGGCTGGCCTGCAGGGGTGTACCAGGCTGGCTCTGACTCGGAGAGTCAGTTGAGCGAGAGTCTTCGTCCATGACCTGCATCGGGCACGAGCGACACTAGATAGTAAGGCAAGAGCGTAGCACGCCTCGGAAGTTGACAAATCCAGCGTCAATCAGCGGCAACACCTACAGTACCGAAAGCATCACAGGTTCCTCAAGTAAATTAATGAACCACAATTAGTACAGGGTATAATAGTGAATCACCACACATACACTGTGTGTCACCATATTTAGTGTCATTGTGCTAATTACACGTTTCTAAGGCAATATGTGCATTAGCATAGCTGCACGTTATCTTGTTGTGGTGTTGGATGATGAAGGTGAAGAAATGAGCCTTAACCATTTACAATAATGGCTTTATGTTTAGAGACTTCTATTAAGCATTCATAATTAGCAATTTATAATGAATGTGCCAGCAATGTGAAAGTCGCTTCAGCTAGCGGGCCGCAGTCACGAAATTTAGCGCCACAAGTGCCAGAACAGGCGAGAAGGTTCAAGCAAGTGGGGACTTCAAGAATCCGTCAGCTGATGGAGGCAAATAAAAGCAGGCCTTTTGTACATCTCATATATGCGACATTTGTGAAGCACATCAGGATTCTAGAAGCATACTGATGCCGATGCATCTGGTGGCATTGATTCCAAAATATATTTTCTCTTCCACAGTTTTCCCTGGCACAAGGTGCCCTCTCTCTCTCTCTCACACACAAAAGCTTGATAATGTAACATCAGTGTATCTTGCCTGAATAAATAAAGCATTATTAAGTGCAATAAGTAAGAAAGTAATGTGGGCACTGCTAAGCAATGTCGCAGGTCTTTATTCCTTGTGAAGCACAACACAGCGGCTAAACATTTAAACATGCCGACTACATGCTTACAACACTTGGCTGCGACGTGACAAGAAATGGCTGCATTTACTTCTTGTGAGGAAACAATGCTCATAGCCAATCCCGGTTGTACATCCTTGAGAAGACTTGTCCACCTCCAGCAAGAACACTTATTGCGCAATTAAACGCTTCTAAACATAGCAATGATTATAGCAGCCTGTCCAAAGAGCAACGGGTCGTGGCGGGCCACTAGCAAAGGTTCTGGCATACGGGTCGTGTGTTTGAGATATCATGGAATTCTTTTGGTGCGGTTCTACTCTTCTAGAACTCAGTATTCTATTTCTCATCTTCTCACTATACATGATTCTCTTGTAAGGTATTTTTCTGAAAAAGATGCAACTGCTGGTGTGGCCCTGTAGTAGAGAATTTGCTTGCCATTTGGAAAGCCTTCAAATCTGCCTAGAACACTGGTTTTTGTAGCTGCTGCACTAATGTTCAATGTGAGTGCTGCAACGAACAACTATGCAACTGAAATTGGCTGTTACGAGCTCACAGTCGCTTACACTGTAAAAAGCAGCAGTAGAACTTTCTAGTACATTTTCAAGAAAGCAAATAGGGCAGAAGACAAAGGTCAGAGGAGAAAAAAAGAGCTTAGAAAGGGCGGAGGGCAAGCTAACAGAGGGAGCCAGAAAAAATCAGTTTTCTTTATTGCAGGATCTTCCAGACAAATTAATTCTCTCTTTATTGTAGCATCATCTGGAAGTGGTACTTGAGTTGGCTATGTGCAGCTTGCAACACTTCCTCTTGCTGGAGAATTTACTCTTGAAAGTTGTCGCAATTCACGCTGAACTTCAGCTAGAGTGGCTATTCCCTCGCAGCCACTGTTTCATGTGTACAAACTTCGTGTTCCGTGGCGTGTGGATTGGTTTATAAAAAGATTTTAATTGGCTGATTCTGACAGCTGTTCTGACTGGGAGTGACTCGGAACCCGCATGACCCAAGGTTCTGTACGAAATGTCGGGACAGTCCCACGAAATCCGGGGTGGTTGGTATTTTCACTGGGATGTAAAAGCGAACCTTTGGTGCCACTTGCCAATTGTGAAGAGCAGTTCTTAGATGCTAGTCTATCTGTTTTGGATGGCCAATGAGCTGGTTTCATTCAGTTCTCTCAATATATGTTATCTCTCAGCCATTGAACATTCAGTTGGTAGTCTGCACACGTCCAGTCTTCTCCCCTACTCTGTCTGTTTGGTAGCACAGTTAAAATGCCTTTACAGACAACGTCGACCAACAAGACTGACATGGTGGGCTACTTCAACGAGACTCCAGTGCTCCTTTGAGTGTAACCAGCACAGCCTGAGATAAGTACAGAGCGGACCATGGTGACTGTTGAGTAGCTCTAGCTGGAAGGATCAACACAAGCTATGAAGGCCTTTTAATTTTTGCCAGCAGCCATGAAACACAGCGCACTGCTCAACCATAGTTTTGCATTAGCTAAGATGCGAGATGCGCTGGGGCAGACTCACCTCTATGGACTTCAGTAGCCACTGATGAAGCATATCACCGGTACCTGATGCCAACTGGTCGGGAACCTCCAACCTAGAATGAAAAAAAAAAAAAGTTGTTAAATGAGCACACCACCAAAAGCTGCGTAAATTGATTCGCAAGTGGTTCTACATGCAAGCCAGGGTCATTGTTGGAAAACTGCGAACGCGTTACAAAACGAAGCGTCGCAACGACGGCGGTAGCGAACTGTAGGAACCCACGCGCATTCATAATCTGCGACGCCAGGTACCATTCGAGAGCTCCAGGGAGGCGGCGCGTCTTTAAAACACACGCGAAGCTAACCGCGCGTTCACCTTCAAGAAACCTAACAATCTTCAGCGTTCCTTGACTGCGTCAGCGACTGGAAAATGACGTCATCCAACACTGACACCGAATGCTGCAGACCTTCGATGCGTAAAGGACTTCCCAAGCTAATCTTCTCTAAAAGAACCGGCGTCCTTTCAAGCCAAGCGATCTTCACTGAGCGTATGCAGAACTTCCGATGTACCCTTTCGTACGCGTCTTGCGACTGGCCCGACTTTTCTTGGCGACGCACTTCGGCTTCGCTTTAGACTCCTTCACAGGTGTGACAACGACTGGGTCATGCTTGAGCGGACTTGTAAGGTCCCGGCCTTGCTTCACAAGTCGCGGTTCTCGATCTGGCAGCATCTCGGGACTCGATCGGCCGTAGTCCACTTGTTCTTCCACTTCTCTGGCGCGGGATTCGCAAAGTGTCATTGTTGGTACCGCTTCGTAACCAGCATCCTCGCAAACTTCATCCGGGTTGGCGCACCGATTGATCCAGCGTCTGCGATGCGCCTTTATACGCGCCCTAGCCGCTTTCTTGAGGACTTCGGCTCTTTCAGCCGAGAGGAGAGAAGGCTTGACACACGGGCCACGCCGGCTTAACTCCATCGTAATAAAAAACGCAACATCGGCATCACGGCGACACATAACAACGTAGGACCACAGACAAGGTTCAAGTCGCACGGCCACTTTTGAATTACTTGTTTCAGTTAAAATTGTCAGAAACGCCCGTGACAGACACCAAACCGCATTCAAGTCACCTCCCCGTCATACCTTTTAACCAACATCGGCATTCACAACGGACGAAAACATACGCGCATTATATTTTTACGGTGCTTCGGCTACGGGGCAGCAGCGCACGTCTCGGACCCGTCCCGTAACCTGTACCCGTTCACTGTAGCCGCAGTAGCAAAAGCAGTCGACACGGCACTCATTCAAACACGCGGTCCAATCGAAAAGCGCGAAGCGAAACGGCACACAAACGTTGTACGCGCGATGCCTACAAGACATGCTATCGCGCCTCATTACGCGTCAAAGATGGACTACGGGGCAGCGGGGTCATCGGGGAGGCTTCGGAAATCGCCCTCAAAGTTTAGCGCGCTCGATACGTTTCCGAAAAGTATCGAAAGAAATGTGCACGTACGCCAGGACCCGACATCATGCAGAGAAGGTTTTGTACAAAATTCGGTAACTCCTCACAAGTTTTCAGCCTGCCCGGATGAGACAAAAAACAACCCTTTAAGACACCGCAAAATCAAAGCGATCGCGACGTCCGGGAAATTAAAATAATGGGAATTTCCCTTTAATAGCGGGAACGTCAAAAAGGCGAGAGCGCACAAAACGCAATAAAACGTTCGTCAAAAACATTTAGGTTATTGCAACAACCTAAACTAATTATGACAAAAAGTTTTTGAACATTACAAATGATGCTTTAAGTAGGTTTCTTGAATATTGAAATGAATTTATTCACATGTTGAACACGTTTACGCGAGGACACATGCTAGCTTTCGTTTCGGGTTTTGTCATTTTCGCAGATGGGCTGGTCAAAATGGCGGCGCGGGTAACGGGGACGTCCCGTGTGTTAAACAAATTAGAAGCGTGCATCGACTGCGGAAATTATTACGAAGCCCACCAGATGTACAGGACCCTATATTTCAGGTCAGTCCCTGGACATCCGATTTTTTTTCCTCTCGTCGCTACGGCCTGACGCACGTGCAGTGCTGAGGCTTTTCCCGTTAGAAAAAAAAAAGGCGTTGGTGGCAGTAGTTGAGTAAAATCTATCGTGGCGTCGTCGCATTTGCGCCAGGTCGACACCTGCGAACCAAACAAGCAAATCGTACCGCCATGCTCACGCGGTATAGTCCACGTAGTAGCGTGGTTAGTATCTTGAGGAATTCACGCTAGTCGCTTGTTTACCGGATTGAGCGCCGAGTGTATTCACGGTGTTTTCGCATCGCGTACGTGGAAAACTGAAGGTTGAGTGTTCTAATTGCGTCACCCTACCCGCGTAACGACTGCGGTTGCGCGTGTTCAACTGCACGTTTTCGCTGACGTCGTAGCTACGTGGTGTCACAGATTTCGGAGTTCGCTCCCGCCCCCGTCACGGAGCTCGAACTCCGTAAGCAGGTGGAGGGGAGAGAATGTTTGTGATGGATCACCGCCGGTAGTGAAAGCAGAAACACGTAGAGCGATGACATAATGATGCCCCTGTCTGCTTGTGTTTTTTTTTTTTCTCTTCTGCTTTCGCGTGGGTATCGTCTATTAAAGCGGCTTTTATGGGTGGCTCGAAACGTGTTTCGGCTAGTACTTCATCTACTTAAACAGCTCTTGCTAGAAGCCACGCGGCTCACGCTACGACTTATCATAAACTCCTTCTGAGTGTCTTAGAATTTGTTTGCGGTAGGTTCGGAACTGTGACGATCTCATTCGAAAGGGCGACATGTGCAACGTGGGAAACAAGGTTTTTGTCCGAAACCTATCTTTTGTAGTAAAAATGAAATAAAGAAAAAACATCTAGCGTTTCCCTCATCTTAACATTGTTCTTCGCTCATGCGTGAAACAAAAGTCGAGCACCTTGGCTAGTTTCGGGTCCTAGCGTGCTAGCAGCGGCATTGACACGATTAGACAATCGGGCGACATCGTTGCGGTATTGAAGCCAAAGGCGGTGTGACGTCACACACTGATCTCCTTTTTCCCTCTCCCCTCTAGTGTGCCAAATTGGATCTATTCATTCTGGTGAAGCCCCCCTCTTCCTATCCCACATTTGCATATGTTCATCACTTTTGACGAAGGCATTGAAGTCGGTAACCTCAACTGCCGTTCTTGTTACCTGTCGAAAATGTGCCTGGCACAAATGGCACGATGCTCAAGTTGTACGTCGACCTGTACGAATTTTGAGGCGCTTGGCCTCACTCTCTCGCTGCCTCTAAAGTGCAGATACTTTTGCGCACCGGTTATTGCCCTGTAAAAAGCCATTTAAAATTACTACTTAGTGAAATTACTACTGTAGTGCATTGTAGATGAACCTAAAGTTGATTTTATTTGTCTACTTTCAGTATTATAGTACGTGACTTAGGAAAGCATTTAAGTGCATGTCATGTAAAGCATTCGAAGTGTGTCACGTCTAGCAGTTGACATCGTAAGTTAACAAGAAAGCTTCACAGCCTTGCAAATGAAGCTTGCTAATTGAATTCAGCCGAGAAGAATTGCTTATTGTATGCTCACTTTACTTGATCATTGTATGTATGTAGTACTTTAAAGTACAGAAAAAAAAGGTGTCAAAGAAAAGATATTACTTTTTTTTTTAGTTTTGTGTGACACAGTATTTATGCTCATGTTGCATATGGTGCTGGGCCAGTTTCTTTAGAGGCCCAGCTGCTTTCATATTGTGGGAAGCATGACAAACTTAGTTACATGAATGCAGGGAAACCTCCATGGAATATTTTGTTTGGAACACTAGTGGATTTGTCATACAAAGATTGCCCACGTTAACATTTTTCCGTTTGCACTGAAAGCTAGAAAACATCAAGTGGGAAATAATATAAAACCCCGGTTGTTTATAGCTGCTCATCATCTCGAAAATCTGAAACATGTGTCATACTTGATAGCTGCAAGGTAACCAGTGGTCATACCAGTTTATTTCAACTTCAACCGAAGTTCATCATAGTTGAATGGCCTGTGATGTCACATCATCTTCCCTTCATTGTTCAAGAATCGAACGTTGTGATAGTATACACAAAGTGTGAGCCTTGACTGGATTGGTGATAAAGTATGGGTGTTTGATACAGCGGCAATACTGGCAGTTCTTGTTAGAGGCCTGTCCGACACATGTGAATGGTTATACGGTCGAGACGTTCATGTACTCAGTTTCATACAATTACATAAATTGAAATGTGGTAGAAGCTTTGTGAGCAGTGCAGTGGGTAAAATGTGTTTGTTCGCACATTTCGTACTTGGATTTTGTCGTTGCAATGTGGCCTCTGCGAATGGCTCCGGCTACACACTACTGATACTAAACATCGAGGTCGCGATACAAGAACAGTCTACCTAAACGATCCAGACTAATTTATTGACAACTGTATAAGTAAGGGTGTTTATTTTTAAGACAATGCATCTACATTTATTTACTCACTCTGAAACTTAATAAGCTAATTGCAGATGGTGGAATCACCCAACTATTTCTTGGTGCGAAAGCATATGCTACTGGAAGTCTCGTTAGCTTCCACAGTGTTGAACCCAACGTATAAGTCAGCAACCACGTGACTGTATGCTGTCAACTCAATCCGTCGCTGTCGTTTTAGATACCAAGGCCAAAAGCGATACGCCGAGCTCAAGGAACTGCTCTACAATGGTGCCGTCAAACTCCTCAGGTTGGACCAGGTGAACGAAAACATTCTCCTTATAGAAATACGTGTCAGGCGATATATATTTCTTAAAGCACACGATCTCAGATACAGCTGATATAACGGCTGCCTCACTCATCACCTGTGACTCAAACCCCAAGTCGGCAACGGCTCTGCAGTGCTGCAGCTGTGAGTGGAGCTGTCGTGAATAAACATTGGTTCCCCGCGTACACTAGTGGACCAGAGTACCTTTGGCAAGGGTACGACAACTGTGTCATCGTGCTATATTGATGTAATTCGTTATTTATGGGCCAAGCTGAACTAGAGCAATCAAATTAGTTCAAATTGTGCCAAAGTACCTAACTAGCCTCAAAGCTGTCTCAGTTGAAGCAATACTTTTTTGCAGACTAGTTGGTTCATACTTGAAAAATTGATTTGCTGCACAAACTTGAAGGAAAAGAAGGGAGAGAGGAAAGAGCGTAGAACTTGAAAAATTGATTTGCTGCACAAGCTGCGCTCTTTCCTATCTTCCTTGTTTTCCTTCAAGTTTGTGCAGCAAATCAACTGTCTCAGTTACGCTAATTTCAACAAGAAATAGAGGTTGGGATGGCCACCTATAGCTTGGCCATCGTCCAGTCCAGATATGCAGATCCTAACCTTGCCCTAACCCCGCTGTGCTTGAAAACAAAGCAAAGAATGGTGCAGCAGTGTCGGAATTCCCTGGCCTTGCTTCATCGCATGCAGGACGTTTCTTAAGTCACTTTTGCCTCTGTACACGAATGCCTTGAGGAAAAGTGGACTAAGGTTGACAGGGGGCTATTAGTCTCATAGGCCTTCCACTCCACGTGCTGGAGAAAGATGGCAAGGCTGCACGAAAATTTGAGGCCAGCTGAAACCGACATTCCAACCCTTGTAACTTTCTTTTAGGGGCGAAGCTCCTTAGGGTGTGGGCTGTGCGTCCCCTGTAGCCTGTATGTAGCCACCTCTAGTTTAGTTCTTGCAGTGTTCACTAGATGGCGGTACCGTCTCCTGTATGTAGCCACCTCTCGTTTAGTTCTTGTAGTGTTTACTAGATGGTGGTACTTGTAGCTGATGATGAAAAGATGCAAGATGTTATAAACTAGAAAGCGGTACTTGTAGTTGATGAAAGACGCGAGATCTTATAAAATAGGAATGATGTCACATATGGCGCGTGTCATTGGTTGAAGGCAATCGTTCGATTTAGTGCGGCGACGTACGCTAGGGGGAGCGATGTAATAAAATCGAGTGGGCAAAATGTACAGAGGATTCATGGTTTACCAGGTTTACCTACGGAGCTTCGCCCACTCATCATCATTCACTTCGTGGATATGGCGGAATTTTTTTATAGCTCAAATTCGCAAAATTATTGCGGTGGCATGTTCACAAAGCAAGAAGTGCCCATATTTCTCTTCGTCACATTTTTGGGCCTCACAGTTCTTTGCTGGCCCTCCAATTAGCTCGCCCCCTCAGAACACATTGTGGTTAACATTTACTGATTAAGAACTGCGTAGCATCTAATAGACGATGTCAGAGTCGGTGATGTCACAGAAATCGGTGCCTAAACATCAAGATAGCTGTGAATATGTGGTTTGGACCAGAATACTATGTGGGTTTAGCTTTGTCTTCTTGGCAGTAGCAATGAACGAATGCAGCAAGTGGTTCTTCGGGCTTCCTTGTCTGCCACCACCACCCCCTACTCCTCGGCCTATACTCGGGTTCACATTAGTGATAACACGGTAGTCACTTGTCAACAGTGAACCCACGACTCACTGTGCCGGTGCTTTCTTTTCAACTGACGCAGTGCAACAGCGGAGCCGACCTGGCAAACCTACTGGTGGACGTTCTTGTTCAGTCCGACACTGAACCCTGCGAAGAGCAAATTGGTGAGCAACCTTTGCGCCTGTTTGCAGCGTCCTCATGAACCGCTCGTCAGTCGTTATTAGTGATCGCAATTGCTATGCCGATGGCACGCTTTACATGACGCGGAATCTGTGGACGTGCTTTCTACTAAGACAGCTCGTGTTTGCCCCAACTGTTGCATCTGTTTGTTAAATTCTGAAATTAACACACACTGCCCCTGTTAAATTCTGAAATTAACACACACTGAGTAGTTTTAGTTTTGTTTGCTTATACTATATAAATGCATGCATTAACGTACATAAAGTGTTTGAACCTGCCCCCCCCCCCCCCCCCTCCTAAAAAATATTTTGACTACGCCCCTGGAGGGCATTCCTCCAATTCCCCAATTTAGTTGTTTTTTTGCTTGCAAATGCTTTCTTTTGACTAGGAAATGTGAATTGGTAACTACACAAGCCTAACCTTTCAGTCTAGCTCAACTTAATATTTTTCACTATTGTTGTCTTCAACCCCTTAACTGTTACGATATTTTAAGAAGTGTTCTCCTTAAAATGTTTATTTTTTTAAAGTTGGCATTAAATATTTATTTTGTGCAAAGCGCAACTTTTTTGATGAAAAAAACAAACAAACATTGAAGCAATATGCAGTCAAATTAATAGAATAAAGTTAATTGTTGAAAGGACAGTTACCGGCTAATAATTATCAATAATACACTATACAAAAACAACAATGCTGTCAGAAATTTCCAACAATCTGGGAGGTTCTAACAGTTGTAGTTATTCTGATGATGAAAAGCTTTGCCGTCAAGCTGACAAGCTACGCTCGTCGGAATTAGTAAAGGGACATCTTGGCGAGGACAGTCAGTGCTTCTGTCGAACGGGGAAGGGGTTAAAAATCAAAGATGCTGTTTACACACTAGCCTTTCCGTGTGGCCTTCCATTTGTCGAGAGATCGATGTGTGACTCTTCTCTTGCTCGCGCAGAACGGTTGGGGTGCCTGTTTGCACTGCTGGCGCCACACTCGCCCGAGCGGTCGACGTTCCTGGCGCGGGCGCTGCAGTGGTCGGCCGGCAAGGAGCAGCCCGCGCGGGGCCACCCCCAGCTCCACCGGCTGGTGGCACTCACCCTCTGGAAGGAGAAGAACTACCCGGAGGCGCGGCACCACTTCGTCCACTCGACGGACGGCGATGGCTGCGCCGCCATGCTCATCGAGTTTCAGATGACCAAAGGCTACAGCTGCGAGATTGACCTGTTCATCGCCCAAACAGTGTTCCAGTGAGTTGAGTTCAATGTTTTCCGTAAAGGGGCCCTGCAACTTTTTTTGAGCATGGTGAGAAAATGCAGCCGATCCGTAGTAGAGGCTCCCGAGAAGACACGAGCCAAATATTATAGCGCAGCACATAGCTTGGCATTCACAATAAATTATGAAAGTCGGCTAAGAATCGCTTTCTTGTTTCTCAACAAATGACAAAGGAAACTCAAAAATCACTCGTAGAAGACGATCTATCAGCCACTGGCTGATTTGAACATGGCGCGCATGGTCGTTACAGGGATCATCACGGGAGGCCGCAACTTGTCCATGCGTGCGCGCTTGATCACACTGAAAAAGCCGCGTATTCAAAGAAAAAGAAAGAAAAGGTGCTCAGGGTCACGAGGTGCACATGACGTATTTTCTTTGCCCCTGCCATCCCTCCCTGCTTAGCTTCTAGCACTTTCCTCAAGAAGAGAGATGCGATCCCAGCGTGCCACCAATCTTTGTAACTCCGCTCGTACTGCACAAATTTTTAAAATTTTTGTGACATTGAACTTGTGATGCAATGAGCTCTTGGAGTGAATCAATTCTATGGCTACTTGTAAAGGTGTTCTAGGGACCCCTTAACGGGGTTCCGCGACACTTGGGAACCGCTGGCTTCAATAGAAGATCTTATTACCACTCGAATCGACTCCCCACAGGCCCCTATATCAGGGCTCTCAAACTCGCCTCACCTAGTGGGCTGCTGTCAGGAGATTTACCCCCGTACTCACAAACGCTGCTTGAATCGAATTTCGTCCTTTGCATGATAGAGTTCAGCACTGCGCCAAAAGGTCATCTAATGCAACTGTTTCAAAGCACACATTTCTTGTATATGATATACAGTCGATCCCGCTTATAGCGAACCTGAGGATAGCGCGGCATCAGTTCGCTGTTGCTAAGCGACTCAAAGCAGGCAATTAGGAATTTCGCCCGAGGCATGGTCTGGCGGGGCACGGAGCGGCTAGTGACGTCCATCGCGGCTTCGCGGGCTGCTCGCGGCGCCGCTACAGGGCCAACCATCGCCCTCAAATGGTTCCCAGCCCACATGGGACAACTGGCTCCCGACATTGAGAACCGCAACGAGGAGGCGGACACTGTGGCCCGTGATCTCATCACGTGCCGGACCGCGGCAGCCCGTCTCCCTGAAACCAGCGGTGAAGAACGAGAAGAAGACCTCGATCCCCTCACCGACTACGGAGGGATCCTGGCGGCCTACAGAGAGGCCAGGAGAGCCTTTCCGCCCCCGCATCGTGAACTGTCACGTGCAGAAGCAGTGAAGCTCCGACAACTGCAAACGGAATGCGTGCTAACGCCAGCATTGGCCCGGCACGTATGTCCCGACATGTTTGTGGACGCTAAGTGTAGCGCGTGCGAACGTGAACTGGCCACCCTCCGCCACATCATGTGGGGCGGGTGTAACAGTGGTGTGAACAATGGGAATGGGCAGTGCCAGGACGCCACGTATACCGATGAGGTGGGAGCATGGATACGCTCCCAAGACTTAAACACACAACGAAGGGCCATCCAGCGGCTTGAGGAGGCCCTGGCAAAGCAGACGAGAAAGGGAACCGACGCCCCGGACAACGGGAGCGGAGGAGCCCGAGTATCCAATGCGTAGCCAGAGCACAACGTCCTCAAGATCTAGAGCCTGGGACTATAGGACTATTAGCTATAGTCTTTAGATAGGGAATACCCGGCCCTGCGCGGACTTCCCGCACGCCGGATGCACAAAAAATGTTGTTTCTCTCTCTCTCGGTTCGCTGTATCCCGAAGTTCGTAGTAAATGAAACACAGCTTTTAAAAAAAGTTGTGAGTGAAAACACAAACTTTTATGCCACAAAAAGTCCGTGATGCACGTGTTTTGAAGAGCAGAAATGATAAGGGCGGTCTCGAGTTCATTTAAAATGGCAGGCTGCTCGTTCGCCAAGGCCCGGGGCATAAGCTGCATGAGGCACTGGCTCCAAAGCTTCGTCGTTCTCACAATCTGATTCCTCCAAATCACTCTCGCCACGTACTTCACTCACAATGCCCCAATCCGTGCACGGTTCCGCAGTGTCGGCATCAGGAAGGAAAAGATTCCTTCCTCTGTGCGATAATGAGAGGGAAGGATGCGGCAGGAGGGCGACCTTGAAAACCAAAACACATGGGAAGGAGGCAGGTTGGGTACTTTGCTTGAAAGGTCCACGAAACTCGCACGTAGAAAAACTTAGAAAAAGTGAAAAAAAGCATGACCGCCTGGTTCGGTGCGCGCAGCGGTGTTCAAAGAATCGGTGGCCGTGGTCAAAAGATCATTTTGTTGCGCAGGCGGGTTTGTGTGGCTTCACGAACTTCGATATTTCGCAATGCCTTCTGCACAAATTAACAGCCGTTTTCGCGCTTCCACACGCGCGTGGAAGGCATGCTGAGCCAAGTGCGAAGTGAGCGAGAACAAGTCCTAAACACGAAACGAATCGCAAATTATCAGAGTCTGTGGGGTAGCGTATGCACGTGCACTAGACGCAGACTATCGGATACAGTCGGGGGCCGACGATGTTGGCAAATGGTCTGGTCACTCCAGGCCGGTGACGCCAACGACAGTACCAGTGGTAAAAACAGGGTAGGTGGCCGACCTGTCTTTGAAAGATCGGTGGCAGTGTGAAAACACGGGCCTCGTCTGGTGATGCAGGGTGCTCAGAGTAGCGGGGGGACAAATGATGGAGAGGTGCGTAACAAAAAGCGGTCGGGGAGAGCAGCAACTAGAGAGGCGCGCAGAGGCAGAATCGGTGTTCAACAATAAGAATGTATGGGCACCTCGCCGGTGCCTGATCGGTGGTCGAAATCGGTTTCCTGGGAAGCGGGTAGACCGCTGACTCCGTTCGCTGTAACCGATCAGCGGCGTTCAGAGACGTTCGTTGTAAGTGCGATTTTGTGCCATTGAAGCAATCTATATTTTCACGGTCACATAAATATTGTTTGTTTTAAGCGAAAGTTCGTTTTAAGTGGGGCCGTTATATGTGGGCTCGACTGTATATGGGTCATTTTTGAAGGACAATTGGCATCAGAATTCAAGAAACATCTTGAATTTCTACTGGTCTCCAAAATTACTGGAATGTGGACACTGATCCTGAAATAAGATTTTGTTCTCTCGTTTTATTTACACACACGGCTGGGACCGTATGAGGTGCCTAGCGAGAAGAAAAATTCTCGAGACCAGTCTGGTTTTGGTAGTTTACCCTAACAAAGTCTTATTAATCCTAATAGACGAGCATGGACGGCGAGCAATATTCAGCGAAGTCGCAAACATCTTTTTCCTTGTGAAGCTGTGGGCCACTAGCAAAAGGTTTGCAGGACTTGTGCTTGAGACCCACGCCTTATTGAGCGGGTAAATAGGAGGGTGGGGGGAGGGTGGAACGCTGGAAGTGCAAAAGCATACGAAGTGGTGCAGTACAGATTGTGTACAGTTACCTATCAGGTGGTATCTTGGTAAGAAGAGTTTGTTGAAGCTAGGCTTTTTCAACGTGAAACAAACGAGACAAAAGAACGAGAAAGAATGAAACCTGAGGTATTAGTAATTGCGACGGACAAAGGCGTAGAAGAAAGCCGACACGGACACTGTGCCATGCAGTTGCACTTATCCCTGCCATTTAGAGCACGGCAGTTAGCTGATCAATACCGTGGCTGACTGGGGTTCGGTAGCACTCGATGAAGCCTTAAATTCGGGTGGCACAATTTTGTGACGGATGCAGAAGCAGCTGAGCATGCCAGCTCTGGAAGCCACTGATGCAAGTAGCAAGACGATGTACCGCATGATGTACTAGAAATAAACATTGCGAAAACACAGTGGGCTAGGAAGTTTTATCCATGAATCAAGTTTTCTTATACATTTTTCTCTGTTGTGCTTACTCACAATTCATGGATGCAAACTAACTAGCCCACCATATTTCAGCAATGGACCACAGATGAGCGCTTTCATTTTTTTTTTGTTTTTCATCTCATTTGTTTTACATTGGGATTAAACTCGCTTCAAGATTGTAGACCAACTGAATTGCACCAAAGACCAGCTAAGGTAGACGTGTTGGCATCTGTTCATTGTGTTTCCTGGAAAAGGTGCTGAAGGCAAATGTTCAGTGAACGTGCGTGGTTAAAATAAGTACAATATTACGTATAGCCACGCATTAAGTGCTGAAATTTCGAAGCCATAGTCAAGACGAAGAACATGACAACAGTATGCGGGAATCGTTTCTAGAAATTTTTTCGCAGTTTGTTTTGGAAGACTTGTCTTGCACACGACAAGACATACCATGCCAGAAATTTCAGAGTGCTTTTTAATGGATAAATCCTTGGACAGATGTTTGTGAGTCAACCCCACGTAGATTGAAATCTTCCAAGCATTTTTTATTTTAATGCTAGTGTTCATCTTCATTTTTTTTTTACATGCTGTATGATTTTTTGATAACTCGATATTGCCATAGTGTACCAAGCTTGCTCCCCGTGTTTTTATTAACTCTTTCGTTACTACGCCTATTCAAGTCCATCACTGACACTTTGGATCGTCAATTTTGGCATGTTGAATTAGTTTTTTGTGCCCCCAGAACTTTCTAATAATTAGTCCAGCCACTCATATTTCAGAATCAATTTGAATTTGCCCGTTTTGGCCAAATAGTGTTTTTTGACAGAGCTTCGCATGAACTAATGTGCACGTGTTGTTGGGAAATGCACTTGGCTGGCGAACTTGACAAAAGTGCATGCCTCTTGTGGTTATGCTACAGCAACATCAAAGTACAGTCAACCGCCGATTTTTCGGACACCCGAATTTTCCGACATGCCCGATAATTCGGACATCTTCGGGGCACCGCCACGAGCCCCATAGAATCAATGTATAAGGAAGTCTGAAATTTCGGACGCTCGAACCCCCTGGAGTCTAATTTTCCGGACTTTTTGACGTGACGGAAGGTCGGAAACCACCACTGACCTCCAGTGGAAACCACCACAACTGCGTCACACGTGATTATGCATAAATGAGCGCGCTAGTCTACTGTGGCGGCATCTGTTGCTTGGACTCGATCGTTAGCGGAGAAACACACACGGCCTCCGAGATTCCTAACACTGGTCGTGTTTATCGTGCAAGGGTGCTTTGCTGACAATCGGAACTATAAAGTTCCTTTCCCTTTAGCGCTTGTGCTCGTGCGTGCCACTCTGGTTTCCCGCGCAGCGCTTTCGCAAAGCGTTTCACTACTTCGAACTAGAACTAACTGTCACACACCGATTTGGTCTGGCCACGCTGGCTATCTTGAATGTTTACCAGCGCCACCTCCGGAGTACCCGAGGCACCGTCGCGCCGTTTTGTTTACGCAGCCCACATGGTGTTTGGCTAGCCTAGTGCGTGGTTGTGCGATCGTGTGAAGTGTGCTCTGCAACGCTAAGCCTAGGTGCTTCGACGCTCGTCAGCAAACTCCTTTGTTCACATAGTAAGGATTTTCCTTGCCTGCAATGGCCCTCACTCCGCCTTCGTCGTCCTCGCCGATGGCATCGAAGCGCGGAAAACAGTACCGTCGGTTAACGATGGAGCCACAGCGTGACTGACTTGTGCCCTCTCATGGACGATATTATCAACGACCTCCACTCTGCTGGTGCTTCCATGCCCACGGAAATAACTTTTGAGCGGTTCGTCGACGCTGACAACGAGCTCGACTTCTGCGCAGAGCTAACCGACGACCAAATAGTCAGTCAGGTTATGACAGATTCAGACGACTGCGATGTCGAAAACGAGGAACCAACGCCTGCGCCACCTACGACCGCCGAATCGATGCGAGCATTGATGACGCTGTCATCGGTGTACAGTGATGACATGACCCTTGCTCAGATCGAGGCGAATGTGATCACATGCAAGCGGAACGCTGTTCAAACAAGGATCAACAAGTTTTTCAAGCCACTGTAGCTTTAACACTGGCTGCCCCGACGGCTGCATGCATTTTTTTAACGGCTCTTTTCAGAGCCACCCCACTGATGCTTTGGCAGAGTTCAGGAAGTCTGGTACTTCGACCTTGACCCTCTTGATCCGAGAAATATCAATGAAATGGTGCGCTTCTTGCTTGCATTGAAAAATATTAGCAAAACGGTGCATTTTTTTTTTTGCTTGCATTGAAAGTTATCGGTAAAATAATGCCTTTTTTTTTTCTTGCATTCATTTTTTCGGACTGCCCGAATTTTCGGACGGTTTTTTGCTCCCTAGAGGGTCCGAAAAATCTGCAGTTGACTGTATTGTAATTGAAAGAACCTTTGCAAGTCAAGTGTCAATTCGTCATCTGACAGTGGTGAGCAGTAATAATTTCCAGAAATGAATGCCAGCTATTTGATAGAGAGCTGTTGCTAAGAGTCAGGGAAAATTTATTCCACAAAAAATATTTCCTAAGGTCCACCGCATGTGTGAAATGTGGCGGCGGCCTTCTCAGCCATTTTCTAGCAGCTTTGGTTTTGCTGGTATCATTATATGAGACGCAGGGCAGCATTTAGTGTTGATAGTCTCTCCTATGGCGTCGCCATGGTCGCGTGGGGTGGGCACCTTTGCTGCAAAAGTCACTCAACGCTCGAAACTGTCTTGAAACCACATCTGAATATAGCTTCAAGTATTACGGCAACAATGTTTTGCGTCGGCCTGAGACATCCACAGCCCTTCATGGGTTTGTTTTGTTTACGGCTTCAAGTTGTTTCCTCCACTGAAAGTGTGTAGCTGCTGACCTTTGTGCACTATCTTATAGCTACTCTAACTACGTGCGAGGTTCACACGTTGCTAGGGTGCAGTTGATGGCGCGGCTACAGAGCTTCTCTTCTCGACAAAGTCACTGGAGCACATTTTAGCCGGGATTTCGGAGCAGCGTTAAACATTCTAAAACCGCGCACGATATTGTTCTTTTCTTTAGTACGGTGTCAAAAATGCAACGGAATATGCTTGTATGCATATATTGGAACGCCAACCTACGAGTGAGGTGGCTCATGGAAAGAGGTGACACTAGATGACATAGTGAAGTTCATTGGATACTTAATTTATAGGGGGATCATTCATATCATGGGCATTCATCTATAATGGAACACGTGCAGGAGAAAATTTTCGCAAGAACAACCAAGAAAAATTTACTGAGAAATGTGTACGAGTTGACTCGTGTCTCACGAAAAACCAAACAATGCTTCACCGCAAGGCGCAAACAATGAAACAGCACCTCGGTTCGAATTTTGTTTGTCTATGTGAATAGAGACATTCTGCACAACATTTATTGTTTATTATGCTGTTCGTGAGTCATTTATCTTCAAAATGTATATTCTCAATTTTCTTTGGTGTAAAGATTTTTGAAGATATAGTGTTTTGTACTACACTGTTTACCAGCTGGCAACAAAAAATTACACACTTCTTTCAAGTTTTTATTCATTTAATATATTTTCGTTGCTCTACAACATATATTTTTTGGAAATAGCATTTTGTTGCACACAGTTTGGTATGCTTCAATGACTGCCGGATTACGTGTCAATCTGGCAAAACTGTTCTTCCGGAGGCACATGAAAAATAACCATTTTCGCGCGGTAATAGAAGAGTCAAGACCGGAGCTTTTGAAGCTTGATGGGAAACATCGGCCGTCCGTAAAAAACCTCCTGCGTCGTTACTTGTCACGACCTGTTGCTCATCAGCTGCGCCCACCAGTGGAGACGGTCCGCACAGCGGCTGCGCCGAGGTTGCCTGTCACGCGAGCTTATTATGAGCAGCGAAAGGCTCGCGTTTTTACCGAAAATGCCGCTGCCAGCATTGCACGTTAGTTCTGGTGCTGGAGTTTGGACGTTCTTGCGTGGTCTGTGACAAGCTGTGTTTTGACTTTATTCTGTTTATGCCAATGAAAGACCGAGCATCAGCCAAAAAGGCCACGTTAAGCCCCTGCGATCATCTAGCTTCGCTGTTTCTGCAGCTTTACACGGCCAGTGTAAACTTCTTCCTTCTTTTTGGGCTCACAGTTTCGTAGTGTTGCCAGTGTGGTGATTGTACATTTCCCCGCCTTCATTTGTGAGTCGTCTTTTTTTTTTGTGTGTGGAGAGGGCCGATTCATGCGTACATGTGCAGTTGTCTTTGTTTTGCAGAAGTGTAAAAGTGCCACAGTGTTGTTGAAACCCGATCGACCTTTGCAGGTACCTGTGCCTGCGCAATCCTTCTACAGCCTCGGTTGTTTTCTTAGCATACACGCGGCGCCACCCCAGCGTCCACCCCGGGCCGCCCTACTACATGCCCCTGCTCAACTTCCTCTGGTGTCTCCTCCTCGCTGTTGAAACGTAAGCTTCCGCCGATGATCTTGTTCAAGGTTACATGTTTCGTAGCACGTTGTTTATTTAGAAGTGTGGCAGTTTGGGCTAGTTGGTATGACATGACGATAGTTATAGCGCGAGAAGAGAACGACGACAAAGAGATAAGAAGGACACCGCTCGTGTCCTTCTTGTCTCTTTTTCATCGTTCTGTTCTCGTGCTATAACTATCGTCACGTTGTTGATGTTGTGTTTGCGTAGCTACTGCAGTCATGGTCTAAGTGTGCTTTCCTACACGTGATTTTATTAAAAGGTTGCAGTTTGGTGCATGTTAGTTAGCTTACCTTTGAATAGTTGTATTTCTTGGAGATCACTGGGAAAGGCTTTCGTTTTTCAATGGACACGAGATAGGCTGACGAGGTGATGTTGCTGTTGTGTTGTTGTGTTGTAGGCCTCCAGGTATACATACATTGAGTAGGCGAGCTTGTGCTTCAGCATCAATCTGAAGAGCTCTTATCCACTTCGAAGGAACACTAAGGCAAAACGGTGAATCGGTCTGGATTGATAAATGGTGCTCCGAGAACTCGCTTGTTGTGAATTTCACCCATATCTTTATTTTGCAGATACAAAACTCGGGTGTCTGAAGGTTCACTTTAAGCATCTCGCTGAGTCTAACAATTTAAAGTGCTGTTTTGTGTTTAGTCTAAACAGCAGTTTCGGTCTAGCGCAGTGGTTCTCAGCCGTGGATGTGTCGGGGACCCCTTGTGGACTGGTGGAGGTGATGGGGGACCCCTTGCAGCGGAGGGGAGGGAGGGTACGTTGGTAAATTAACACAACTAGAGCGTGAAACAGGTGCCTTTTATTGCTACCAAAAAAAAAAAAACATCAATCAAGCGAGACACAGTCGCGATTAAAGAGGTCGTAAAATGTTCTTCAAAAATTTTAAACTGCGTGTGTCTTTAGAATCCTGGCATACCATTCAATACTATAGCTTGACTCGTTTGATCGTCTGTGCTTAACGGATACATAAAAAAGCGCAATTCTGATTTCCCAGCTCACATTTCCGTCAACTGTGCAGCTGACGCCACTTTAAGACAACCAATTAAGTCTCTCTGTCGTCGACAAAACAAGGCAACACAGCTATGTTTCTGAGCCTTAGTTGACCATGTTTCGTAGCATCATACCGTTTGGCGCCGTCACCATTTTCCGACCCTCCCAAACTACAGTGTCGACTGCTTGAGCTGAGTCGGCTTTCGGGCTTTGAGCCGTACACCAACGCACCCATGCGAGTTCCAGATGGGCCATTGTCGGAGGAAAGCAGCGAGGACGGCAGCGAAGAAGCCTGCGCCCTGGGAGCACTCGTATCGAGACCGCGTGTCAGAACCTCCGCTTGCGGAAGCCCCGATCTTGAGCCTCCACTCTGTGTGGCGCCCCTTGTCGCGCTTTCGCGCTGCCATTGGCTGCAGCCGCCAGACTGGTGCGGTTCCTGCGCGGCTGCATTGAGCAAGTTGGATGCTCGCTCGGCCGATCACTCACTGTAATTGCACAGTATGCAACTCAAAGCGCAAAAACTGCTGTGTCATTTTTTTTGCTTTTCTAGGTTTTTCTAAATTATTACTTTGTAGCAAAGTAAAGCTAACGCTGTTGTAGCAAAGTAAAGCTAACGCTGTGTTTGTAGCTTCTCTTATTGTGACGTTTCACTTACGTCAATGTTAGTGCCTATAGCGCCAGATGGTCGCGCACGGTCGTTAGTGATCTCCAAAAAACTGCAATTTCAAACGGGCATCATTGATTACATAATGGATATTGTGTCGAAATATTTCGGAATCGGCATGTCTAATCCTTATAAATCAGGCAGAAATTCCAACTGAGAAGTTTCATTATCGTTTCACGACCCCTTTAAACAGAGTTTAAGCGAGACTAAAAAAAAGCGGTTTAGGGTTTTGCGGATCATAGAAATGGCTTTGTTGACCGCCATTTGAAAACCACTTTTCTAGTGTTTTCGATTTGCTGGGATTCAGCAGAATTGCTTTGCAAACAGTATACACACCAAAGTCTTAAACTCCTGAAAGTGTGCACTTACAGCTACACACTAAGTAGAGTAGTTTTGCTGCATAACAATTGTCTCCAACTTGTGATTGCTTGCCTTCCTGTGGTAGTGGTACTTCCAGGCCATGGAGCAATGCTTGCGCCATCAGTGTCGCAGAGCATTCCTGATGGAAAAGCGCCCCAAGTTTTGCGAGTGATGATGGTGATGCAAGCAAGCCGGGTGGTAGTTATTTTTTTTTTGTGATGCAGAGGCACCCCAGTGGGTGGGGTAATTGCTTTTGAGTGTGCATTTCCTGGCAACAAGTTTGCATGAGAGGAACAAAATTTAGCATTAATTGGCGGGCAATGAGGAGCTGACGTAATACGATGCCTGCAGGAGGAAGCTGGCGGTGTTCACAGTGCTGTGCGAGCACTACCAGCCAACCATCAGCCGGGACCCCACGTACCCTCAGTACCTGGACAAAATTGGCCAGCTCTTCTTCGGCCTCCCGCCGCCACCCAAGCCGCAGGGCATGTTCGGTGGGTGCCCACTTCATCTTCGCGCCTTTCTTTGCGTAGCACTGCTTTTGCACTATTCGCCATCAAAAACATGTACCGTATTTACTCGCATAATCCTCGCACTCGCATAATTCTCGCAACCCCCCCCCCCCCACATCGCTCTACAAAAATATTTCTTTTTTTTCCTCCAGTAATCATCGCACCCTCGAAAACTGTGCCGCAATAATGTCGTCTGCTCGTTCCAGTCACTGATGATGATAGCGTGTGCCATCTGGAGTCATTTCTTAAGCACTAATATTGCACGGCGATTCAATCCAAGCCAAGCTAAAGTGGAAAGTGCACGTTGCTGCGTGTTTTGTATGTTGTGCCGGTAATCTTGTCACGTTATAGGGCGATATCGAAGCTACACGGCTGCTTTCGAGTTGAAAGTGATAGATCATGCACTAATCAACGGCAACAGGGCCGCCGGTAGGCCTTTCAGAGTCTACGAGTTTTGTGTTCGCTGCTGGTGACGGCAGCTGAAAGCCACCAAGACACGTTGGGCCTGTCGTGTGCCTAAAGCTGGGATTGATGGTAAACTTTATTTCTTCAGTAGAAAACTGCGGACGATTCCGTTAAATAGCCATCAGCCCAATACAGACAACCTACGCTTACCTTTGGGGGCTCCTGTTGAGCGACGAGCGCTAGCGCTACGTCCTCAAGCTTTGCATATGGTATTCAAATTCTCGACTATTTGCTTGCACTTTTTGTTGCTGGTGTGAGAAACCCAATTTGTGGCCACTTCGTTTTCTTTTTCGGTCTGTGCGTTTTGGTGGAAAGTTTTCCCCGCATAATTATCACACACCCCAACTTTGCATCGGTTTTCCACCAAAAAAAGTGCGAGGATTATGCGAGTAAGTATGGTATGTATTGAGAGTACGTTTCTAGAGCCTCTGACAAGGCCTCGTGGCAAATTTCAATCGCAGGTTAAAAGTTCCAAAGGGTGTCTTTCTGGGCGAGTTGGTACGGTACAATCATTAAATGTAGTGCAAAAGATCACAGACACGGCAGTGTTGCACATTATCGAGGTAAATTTCCTTATTGCCACTCACTGAAACACTAATATTTATTTACTTATTCATTTTATTTCTATTTGTCATCAAATCTATAGTTCCTTGAGTGTAGTGCGTGTTCCTCTACAAATTTGAATAGATAGTGCAATGCGGTGTACGTGTGCTCCTTTTTGCATTCGGGTTTTTTCCGCTGCATTTAACGATGATAAAAGTTCGTAGGTGCTACTATCCATGGATGATAGTAATATAACAATAGTAAAAAGGGAGACGTTTAGGCCAGTCTTGTACAACTTGGGAAACAGCGTACCTGGTTGATCTTAGGGACTTGACATGGCATTCTTGGCTGACGCGAGGTCTTGCCTTGGAGTAGACAGAGTCCGACAACAGCTTGTCAGAGACCGTGCAAGGGTGCCTGAACTTCGGTGCCAGAACTAACGTGCAAAGCTACTTGCAGCAGGCCTGGGAAAAGCACGGGTATTTCCTTGCTCGCACACCCTGCCAGCGCACCAGCGCCGTCGTCATCGGTGGGTGCGTCATATAGGCGACGGCATGTAATTAGCAATGGCACAGAAATTTTTTTTGCGAACGCTTAATGTTTCACCTTGACCTTTGAGAACTTAGTTCTGTAGATGCTGTGCTCTCATCGTGAACGTTTACATTGAAGCGGCGGAAAGTGCAAAAGTGGCTTCACTCACTGCAGTGGCCGTGCTGCATTAGCTAAAGGAGCGAGGTGCGCTAGCATTTTTTCATGTGTCATTCTAATACTTTGCCATGCCGTTTGGTGCTTTGCCCTCACAGGGAAACCGATTGTTCTTGCTCACAACGAAATGTTGTCAATGCAGGCAACCTGATCCAGACGCTACTTGGGGGACTGGAGGATGACGACTCCGGTTCATCGTCGCATGCGGGCATGGCAATGGGGCAGTCGACATCTGCTGAAGTCCAGCCGGAAGAGTTGGATTAGGTTTTATTGAGAAAACGAAGGAGTGCAGCGTCGTTGATAGCTCCGGTTTTGACCACCAGCAGATCATCGAGATGTGCGAACAGGGCTTAGAAGGCCCGAGAATGTTTTTGTGCATGAAGGAAAAAGATGGCGGTTGTTATCAACACGGTACAAATCCACACGACGCAACGCGGAGAGACTTTACGGTGTGCCGAGCGAAGGCAGAATTGCTCTTCAATGGGTGGGAAAAAAAAAGTGGGTCGGTGGAGCCGTTTGTTGATGTTTTTCGCTAGTAGATTTTACGTGTCTCGGCTGCCAACTACGTTTATAGTGTAATGCCAAGCGCGGGTCGATGCAGCCCGAGATATGGATGCCTACGATCCGCGCATCATTTGGATGTAGGGTGGGTTCGGCGTGGAGGAATTGATTTTTTTTTCCAGGTGGTCGTCGCTTGGCCACTGTTGTTGCCAGTTACTAGCGATGGCCGAGCGCACAGTGTCGTATGTTAGTTTACGAAATATATATTGTTTCTTTTCGCATTGCTGGAACCAGCAGCCCAACGCCTTTGTTTCTTTTTTTTTGTTCTTTTAGTGACTCAAATTAACTGCATTTCTTGTGATGCAAGTAATTATTATTAAACTTGTCTTCTGTGTTCTGAGAGAGCCTATTATATTCATTTTTTACTGCTCTCTTTTTTTAATATGCTTTGACTGTTTACAGACTGGTTTCTGTGAAAAAAAAATGATAAATTTCAGTTGTCTTATGGGAGAAGCTGCTGTGAACACGCACATTTGCCATTTGAGCAATAAAAAAAAGTGGAACAGTGGCTGGAGTGATGGACGAGTGTCTTGCGATGTGAACAACATTGTGCCTGTGTGTGTCCTCATTTGTAAGGGGTATTGACTAGGTCCATGGCGAATGTTAGACACTGGAAGTTGTAAGAGGTAGTGTCCATTGACCATTGTACCAGAACTACCTTTGAGATCTGTCCACTAGTATGTAAGGCTGGAGTCACTCTCTCTTCCCCTTTGCTCTAAATGGCAGTCTAAAGGGTTAACCAGAAACATTGATCATGGGGAGGTGGGGTCAGTTGATTTCTGTAATCGCCTTGTGTGTTTGTGTGTGAGTAAGCACACGTAGAGAACGTAAAAATTTTGAAGAATGGATACTGGACAATAATCGCCCTTGCACCCGAACCATATGTCTGGCTATGCCACTGCTCGATTCCACAAGCTGCATACGCTCTCTGCATTAATCTGTGTGCTGAAGGCATGCAAACTTGACTGAAAAGCTCTACCTCATTTTCTTTCTTTCTCTAAAAAAAATGTACGGATATTCAGGCACTTCCAATATTGGAACAGATGTTGGTTTTCGAATTCGCCTTCACATAATTTTAATGGGGTACTCACACAAAATTTTGCAGCAGAGACAGCCTGCGGGGTCGATTCCAGTAAACACTCATATACTCTCTGCAAAATATCAACAGCCAATAAAGCATGGAAGGTATTTTAAATTAATTTTGGAGTTTGCGGCAGCACTCTACTCCATCGACCATTGACACCCTCGAAGGGACCCTTTGCGGAACCCTCGCGTTACCACGCTGCAGTCAATAAAACAAGTTATGATGTCATAGCTGCTATTTTTCTTTTACCACAATAAATCCCTCCTATAAACGTTGGTTCCCGCGGTCTACACTTCTCGGCGGCTAATCGAGTGTGCGTGGCCATGGCGCATGCTTTGAAAGTTTTGTGTTTGGCAACACTGCAGTCCAGTTTTCTATTCGAAAGTAATTCTTGATGCGGACCGTGCGGAAGTGTGTCACAGTTCTGTGTGCTGACGTGGTTGAGAGCTGCACACGCTAGGTGGCGATAGTTGCAACCAGTGGCTTCTCGTTTTCGGAGCTCTCGCATACCGAAACTGGTCAACAATGAAGGGCCAACAATAAACCATTTGTCACGTGCTGCAGCAAACAATGTGTCCTGTTATGAGTTAACAGGCTCCTAGCAATACATTGCAGCAAGAAAACGCGAGGCCAAAGTTTTTGTGTCAGTACTCCTTTAAAAGAATTAAGGGCGTGCAACTCCTCGTAAAGGTCGTTTCACCGCTGCTTTGGGGGTGCCATGCCACGAAACTGCCCATCCAGAGAAAGTTCGCGTTGTCGCGAAGCCACACCTCTAAGTTAAATGCACTGATTATTGTCGCCTCGATTAATCGTTTCTTAAAGGTTTAAAAGTTTAGAGGCTTTTTCAAACGTAACGTATTGCATCGGTTACACCCTCCAAATCTCCCTACTCATCACAGATTCTTCCACTTCAAATGATAAAAGTGACAATCACACATGGCTGGTTCCAAATCGTCAAAATTATAGCTACGTAGCACTACTTCTCACCTTATTTTGTTTAAGAATTGTGCAAGTTAGTTGGGTAATGACAAAAGTGTTCAATTCTTTAATACATTAAAACCTCACTATAACAAAACCTCACTATAGCACATCGGCTTATACTCGTACGATGATGGCTTGTGTCGGGTCAACTGAGGCTGACGCGTGTGGAAGTCCGCGAATTTCTCATCAGTCACCAGTGTTGTCAAACTGCATAATAAGTTTCACCGCCTTTTGGATGACCTTAAATAAGACACAGTTGGGCGCCCAGATTACCACGTAAAGAAGTGCTTTCATTTGTACTCTTCCATGGGCTTGTTCTTCAAGCGTAGGAAACTGTGCTCTTATATAATGAAACACGTAGGGGAGAATACGTAGAAATTGTTTTGGCGACATTGGAGTGGAAGCACAAAGAATGGGCAGAAATCGAATGAGGACTGAAGCGAGAATGCCGGCCGTGGTGTTGTGACCCTTTTCAAAGTCTAGCTTTACGTTAAGGACATATAACAAGAACAGCAAACTAGTGTACGATTTATATTCCATCTACAGCTTGAAAACCACACAGCAGAGAATACCGTAGAACCAATGCACGTGGAAATCTTGCATTAGATTTTAGAGCATCGGTGTAAGGTAACGTTTGTTTATTATAACAATAATAGCAGGAGTTCTCCGCAGGATTATTTAAGTGTGCCTACTGTTGAATTTTTTTTTAAATGTACTTGTGCATTTGGAGACCTCTCTACCGGTAAGAGTTTTGGCAGAACTGCTGATAAGCCATAAGGAATAATTTTCAAGTACGAACCAATTTAACTGTTCTATTTACTTTTGCTTGGAGGCCAGCAAATAATACCTAAAAGATAAAATCGTCAATTGAAGCTCGGAGCTAGCTAGCCTTTCTTGGATACAGATTGTGTGTCCATATGTGTCTAATCTCTATTAATTTGCATTTTGCTTTTCAAGTTGCTCTTCGAAGCACCTGCTTAGAGTCATTGTTTTGTTGGGAGGTCCTGGCTCGGTCTACTGCAATGATAACCTTAAGGCAGTCTTTGCCAACATAAAGAAGTGTCCAGATTCCACGAAAGCAACCAGCCGCCAGCGAGTGAAACTGTGCTCCTCTCTTCCCATTTGCATCCGTGGCATTGGGCAGTTTTAAGAATAGCGTACGCAAAGATGGCGCTCCTTAACATGGGCGCCAAAAAAGACTGTGTAGACGATCTGTCTACAGCGTACATGCAAGAAAACAGCTACCCTAGAAGTCGCTTTCGTATGAACTAACTGGCAATGTCGTGGCCAAACACTTTGGTGAACAGCTCCTTGTCGACGATGCCACCTTGCTTGAGGGTCAGGATAAGGGGGTCGTTCGGGGCGCTAAAGCGGTGCAGCTGGACGTACCACGACCCCCAGGCCTGGCCGGCGTCCGCGAAGTGGGCGACGTCCTTGACGTCGTACGCGTGGTCCTGCCGCCGACCCCAGAAATTTAGGCGAGCGACGCGCAGCTTGGTACAGTCCTTGTTGACGTACATCATGCCGACGATGCGCTCGGAAATCATTCCCGTCAGGAAGAGGACCACGGCGGAGGACACCATGAGCGACAGGAGGGTGGCGTTGGCGTGCGTCGGCAGCCACTGCGCGTACTCGGAGAGCATAAGCGGCGGCGTGACGACGAACGTGGCGAAGCACTGGTAGATCTTGAATCGGCATAGCATCTGGATGAACCTGATGTGAGGGTAGCGAAAGATTGTGGTCCACTCGCTTTCGTCGAACTCTTCCTGCGCCTCCTTAGCCGAGGATTCGCTCTTTAAGAACCTTCGGTGCGAGACCGCGCAGGCGGCGGCGTTTGTGCGAAGCAACGACGGCGCCGGGGTCGAACGGACACAGGAGAACCGCACCACGCCGGCGACCGGAGACGCGGAGCTGAGCGGTCGTCGCAGAGCCTGCCTCACCATGCGAGGCAAGAGAGCAAGTCTGCTCGCCATTACGCGCTTTCTGTTTTTTGCTTTCTCTCCGCTGTTCACATCTGTCGGATTGTCGTTCACACTGGAGACTATTTAGGACTACGTTCGATTCGAAGCACCGCAATTCATTCAAGCCTCCGTGCTGGGTTTCACACTGTGCCCGCTGTGCAATTAGAGGAAACTATTGCGCTATGCTATTTTGACGGTCGATCATGCTGGATGCAGCTCTGTTTCTGGCTTTGTATGGCTCAATTTAAATTACAGCCTGCTTCTGTTTTTGTGCAAACAAAGTTTTGAGCTACTTGTTACGTGCCGCGTTCTTACGTTCTGTGGTTCCTAGTCGTCAAAGCTTTTGGTGTATAAGCGTTCTGGTGTATATCTCTGGTGTATAAGCGTTCGCTTTCGAGCGGTAAATTCAAACGATGTTCGCATTGCCTATTAGAGCATTCCACGCCAACTGCCCCAACCTTGGCGCTCGACCATCCCTAATTTACTCGAAAAAAAAAATCAGAATCACCTACCCAAGTCCAAAAGTGTTTCCGCAAAAAATTTCTTCCGAAAAAAAATTCCCTGTGCCGCAAGCCTCATTTGAATTTTTTGCGGAAAGCTCGAAACCGTAGCTCGCAAAACACTTAGAAGTGTGGCAGTTTGGGCTAGTTGGTATGACATGACGATAAACAGAACGACGACAAAGAGACAGGAAGCGCTCATGACGATAGTGACGATAGTTATAGTGATGATAGTCATGACAGTCAGTTATAGTGACGATAGTCTTGACGACATGACGATAGAAGGACACAATAGCTTCTTGTCTCTTTGTCGTCGTTCTGTTCTCGCGTTATAACTATCGTAAAACACGTTGCCGAAAATTCGTTTTTTTATATTAAGTCAAGACAAATTTTTATATTTAGAATAATGGTTAAAATAGGCCTTATGACCTTTTACGCTTTCGTGTATTTTTTTGCGTGACCTCAAATACTGAGAATTCGATTCGTATTGGGGATTTCTTTTATAGATAAGCAAAATTAGGGGAAATGGAATAGTTGACATTGGCATATTGCCAGAGTATGTTTTACTAAAAACCAAAAATAGTTTCAAGCGTATACAGTGCGAAATAAATTTTACAGGTGGTGACAAAGTTGCAAAAATGTTCCTATTGGCACATCTTCGGCCGTAAATTCAACCATGAGGCGGTCCTACTAAAAATATTCGCAACAGCAGATTTAGTAGCAACCTTCTGCGGCTACTCACTCAGAAAGTTTTATAAAATTAATCTTTGTTTTAAGCGAGAAAAATTCTGTTTCTGGCTTCGTATGGCTCAATTCAAATTACAGCCTGCTTCTGTTTTTGTGCAAACAAAGTTTTGAGATTGGTTCGGTGACTATTTTCAGCCAATCGAAATAGTTCCTTTCACCGAGCATTGTATTTACGCTATTCCGGTGCCCTTAATTTCCGTGGTCCGCCTGTGACCGTCTTAGAATGAACTGAATGAGTGTCTACGGGTCCACCATTTTATAGGTGAAAGCGCAAAACACGCGCGGGTTGTGTTTCGATGAAAAACAAAAACAAAAAGAAACACGCACTTCCACGAAGTTCACGAGTGGGCCAAGCTCGGACCTAAAGTCCATAATGTCAACGTCGACGTCACTGACTAGGACGAAGAGTTGCTGCTTGTAGGTCTATTACATCCTTCTTCGCCACTATATTTGTTGTTCGTCTGTTGTAAACTTTCTTCACATGCACACTCAGTCAGTCAGTCAACAAACTTTATTTGGGTCCTATGGAACTATTCTTCACACTCAGTCAGTCAACAAACTTTATTTGGGTTCTAAGGAACTACAGGGTCGTTTTCTATGCACCATGACAGCGGACAGCGAGCGTCGACCACAAATCTAGATCATAACCTACGCGTGCGCACGAGGTGGGCGGGGAGGTGGGGGCTACCCTAGTCACATAAGAAGAGGGGAGGTGCTAAGTCTGCCCTATACATTGCCTTAATAGGGAGGGCAACGCTACGATCAACGTTCGTCCCCCCCCCTCCTTTCTGAAGGGGTACACTGCGCGCGCTTATGCTAAGGTCCACAATGTCTACGTCGAAGTCACCTACTAGTATAAAGGGTCTGTGCTTCTAGGTGTCCTATATTGTCCTGTCACAATTTTCATTGAGCTTAAGTCTGTTGTTAAACCTTATTTTTGTGTCTCAAATTCACGCATCTTCCTGTGAAGGACATCGCGGACGCGGACAAGCTTCGACCTTAAGCTGCTTCGATTGCCACACACACACACACACACACACACACACACACACACACACACACACACACACACACACACACACACACACACACACACACACACACACACACACACACACACACACACACACACACACACACACACACACACACACACACACACACACACACACACACACACACACAAACACACACACACACACACACACACACACACACACACACACACACACACACACACACACACACACACACACACACACACACACACACACACACACACACACACACACCATGGGGGGCAACCACGAAAAGTGAGTTCCTCCGGGGGGGCAAGCTAGCTCTGCTCCTACTAGGTTTTCAATATATGCTTCCGGGCCCTTGGGTGGGCATAGGGGGGGGGGGCAGGCGAGAATTTTAGGGAGGCTCCAGCCCACCCTTGCCCCCCCCCCTGGCGCCGCCCCTGGTCGTTACGATATGATGTCATGTATATTTTTATTTTATTTGCAGATATGATGTCCTAATGGTGTCTTGTATCACTCGGGCTTACGCTGCCCATATATAGGGTTGGTTTTCCCGTTTGGTGAGACATCTATAGATGTCTATAGCTTTCGACATCTATGTACATCTGTAGACATCTACAGATGTCTATAGCTTTCGCGAATGAATGAACCAAGCATACGGGCGTTTACATATACGCAGAGATGCTACTCTTTATTCGGTGGATCATCATGTATAAATAGTCATAAATAGTGGTAGACGTGCACCAAGTGCACCGGAAGGGCCAGCCTCCCGCGGTGGTCCGGGTCATACAATGAGCGTGTCGTTGGTCTCCGCGGCGACGGAGCCCACGGGGACGGCGGGGAAGCGCGTCTGCAACGGCCTTCCCCCGAAGCCCTCGTGGAAGCGGTCGGTGAGGAAGCCATCTTGGGCGAACTCCTCGCCGAAGCCGGGCTCCTCGACCTCGATGTTGTGGTCGTCGGGGCTCGAGAAGGCGTTGGCCTCCTGGTAGGGGATCGGGATCACCGACCCGATCGCAGCGATGGCGTCGTTCGGCGAGCGGCAGACGCCTCCCCGACAGGTGCCTTCGTACAGGCGCTGCACCAGAAACGGACATAACAGTCAAATATCGTTTATAACGAACATGGATACAGCGAATTGCTGGTTATGGCCGTTGGCACAGCCGGGGATTGGCACACTGGACCCGTGTCTTAGAACGGCCGGAGCTCTGGATACGGATGTTGCGACCGTGTTGGGTATAAGTGAATTGCGCGCGTTCTCCACAGCCGGTCGCACGAGAAAGTGTGATAATGTATACACAAAAAAAGAGCGAGTAAAAAGGGTGTTTTTTCGTCCCACAACAATAATCGTCATCTATATTGTGTTCCATCCTTGCGCTATCGCCCCGCGCCTGGTACATTCCAGTCACGATCGACATGCCCATTATCAGGGTGTCACAGAACGAGCGCTAAAAATGGGCGCGCCGCCAAATTCTTGCGGTAACGCGCGGAAGAGACGCCGGGAGGTCAAAAGAAAAAAAAAGAAAGCAAACATCCAAGCGCTCTCCCCTTGGAAGCGTGGCTTCGCCGACGAACCTCCTCACCCCACATCGGCGGCCGAGATAGCCCGCGAAAGTTCTAGAACGAAAGGGGCGTGGTCATACCGAGTTGAGTCATCGGCCGCGGAGGGCATTCCAACCGTCTCGCCCTCTTCCCAGCCTTCCCTGCGTATCGCGCCGACGAAATGATGAGAACCTTCTGGAATGTCGCGCGCAAGGTATTTAACCGAGCAGCCGAGACGAGAGATCAGGAGAAGACGGAAGTTGGCGCCAGAGCGCGTTGGGTATCCCGCCGTGTAGTCGGCGAAGGTTTTGTCCGTAGAGGCAAAGCAGGAGAAGAAGAGGATTTCCACCTGAGGGGTGAAGGCTCGAGCTACAGGCAAGAGCGTGAGTTTACCGCTATCGAGCGAAGACGCGTGGCAACAGCTGCGTGTGTGAAGCCGACGTGTTTCCGGCGAAGAAGTTTGAAGCTTGGAGAGTGGCCAATTGAAGACGCGAGGTTTCCTGGAAAAGAAACTTCGGGGCAGCGGAACGGCAACAACGCTGGACTTTGAGTGAGTGATTCTCGGAAGAGTATCATTCAGACTTTTGTTCCAAGGACTTTGGACTGAATAGGTTTTCTATCTCTTTAGTCTTTAAGTGCCTTGGTTGTTCAATGTATGCGACTGCATTGTAGTGTGTATTGTTGTCTGTGTCCGTTGTTCAGAGTGTGGCTGATTGTACTGTGTAGTACGTTGTTTGACTGGTTTGATTGGTGACATATTGTACTCACTTATTGTGGAGTGTGCATACTTGTGTATTGTTTTTGATCTGCCGTTATTGAGAATATAATTTTGTTTGTCTATCAACTCTCGGCTCTGACTTGTTCTTTGGGCCACAGCCGGCGTCTGCTGGCGCGCCAATAAGGACCAATTCTAAATTGTCCACGCTTTCGTGGTGCGGTTCGGGGGGCCGATACTTCGGCTCTTGGAATTAGCCCGGCGATCGCCTCCCTAATTAACGGTACCGGTGCGACAATTAATCTGGCGTCCGCGACAGGACCTTTTGGTACACACTGTGTCCAAAGAAGTGAGAAAGAGCCTCGAGTTGTTGATAGTGCTATCGGAACAATTTTGTGTGTTGTTCAGTGTTCTCGTTAACGAGTGCAGGGGAGTGTTCCGATAGACTGACTTAGGCAGATACTTTTTTGCACGCAGCAATGTTTTATTTGCGAGACACAATGGATCTCGAAAAGTTAGTCGCTCTTGGTGAGAAGATGGGTCTTTCTGGCGCCGAGCTACGGAAGTGGGTCACTCTGAAGGAAAAAGAAGAAAAAGAGAGGGCCAAAGAAGAAAAGGCAGCTGAGCTGGAAAAAGAAAGGCTGGCGGTCGA